ATGGAGACAAACAGCCAACGTGGCCCACCTGCAAATTCCCTTATCATCCTTCTTCCTGTAAGCAGCCTCCCAAGGCCAAAAGCAGGCTGGTGGGAAGGCTCTGACCAGCAAGGTCACTGACTCCCTGCCCCTGTCTACAAACAGCCACATTTCTCACAAGCCTTGCCTCCCATCTTTTGGGAAGACAAGACAAAACAAGACAAATTTGAGGACTCACTCTCGTCTCCTGGCTGATACCATCCGAAATAAAAACCCTTTTCTTGCCATAAGCCTGGTGGTCCAGTTTTATTTGGCCCCTTGTCTGTGGCGGGTAGGGAACCTATGTTTGTAGGCACCAACACTTTCATGATTTTATTTAAGGTAAAATCACTTTTGTACTATTGCAGTGTACTTGGAAAATTATTTTTGTAATAAAATGTAAATGATTAATATAGACTTGGAGTATACAAAATTGACAACAATGGGATATATATGTTCTCATTTTTCATCTTCAGGCATACGATGAAATGATATACACAATGGTATTATAAAGGCAGAAAGTGAAGTTTCCAATTTTCCTGGTCTAGGCAATATCGATAACCAGTATTGTAAGTAGATAATGTATTTTGATTATCACATAAATCCAAAGGCTTTTAATTTTAGCATCTAAATTCTTAAGAAATTTTGAAAGGGAAGTATTGATTAAAACCTTGTAGATTGTAAAAGGCTTTGCATGTTGTGTTTGGACTTTAAAGTAAGAAGATAAATTGGAAAGTGAATGATAGGGTTTGTTCTATAATTAAACCAAGTGATTTTTAAATAAATTGTGGTGCAATAAGGTAATTTCTCATTACTTTGTTATAATATTTCTTCTGATTTGATTTTTAAACCCACTTATGTGAGCCCTTGAAAAAGTAAATAATTCTCATCCCTTTGATTAGACTATGTGTAAAGCAAATCCTATCATTTCCTTGCTCAAGACCCTCTAGTGGCATTCCTCATAATAAAATCCAAACTCTGGGGCCAGCCTGGTGGCACAGTGGTTAAGTTCGCATGTTCCACTTTGGCAGCTGGGGGTTCACCAGTTTGGATCCCAGGTGTGGACCTATGCACCACCTGTCAAGCCGTGCTGTGGCAGGCGTCCACATATAGACTGGAGAAAGATGAGCATGGATGTTAGCTCAGGGCCAGTCTTCCTCAGCAAAAAGAGGAGGATTGGTGGCAGATGTTAGTTCAGGGCTAATCTCCCTAAAAAAAAAGAAAAATCCCAAACTCTTTACCCTGCTCTACAAGTTCCTGTGTGTTGTGGTCTCTGCCTATCTACAATTTCAACCACTCAGCCTCATTAACGCCACTGTAGACCTAATGGATTTCTTGCCATTTCTCAATCTGCCAAACTGCTATCTACCTAAGGGCTTTTCCTCTTGCTGTTCCCTCTGAAATGTTCCTTGCCTCAGTCTTTGTATGGCTTATATTAGCTTTTCATTCAGATCCCTGCTCAATGTCACTTCCTCAGAATCGGACTTTTCTCTAAATATCCATCCTCTGTCATTCTCGGGACCTTACTCTGCTTCGTATTTCTTTTTTTTTTTTTTAAAGATTTTATTTTTTCCTTTTTCTCCCCAAAGCCGCCTGGTACATAGTTGTATATTCTTAGTTGTGGGTCCTTCTAGTTGTGGCATGTGGGACGTCGCCTCAGCGTCACTTGATGAGCAGTGCCATGTCTGCGCCCAGGATCGGAACCGAGGAAACACTGGGCCGCCTGCAGCGGAGTGCGCAAACTTAACCACTTGGCCACGCGGCCGGCCCCTCATATTTCTTTATAGTACCTATTACTTATCACTGGCTCACATTGTCTTATATAGTTGTTTGTCTATTGTTTCCACTACAGTGTAAACTCTGAGGTCAGAAACATTGTCTTTTTTTTTTTTTTTTACCACTGATTGCTAGTGCCCAAAATAGTGCTTAGCACTACCTGTGATATATATGGATGAATAGATTACTTTTATATGGGGCCATTTCTCAGTGAACTTATCTTTCATTTAAAATATTTCTATTAGATTATGCAATTAGCTAGAAACAACTCAAATTATTTCTGGCTTACTCAGAAAGTTCACCATTTAAAGGTTGAGTAGAAGAGAATGAACTAGTAGAGGTCAGAAATAGGAATATTGGGGGTCAGAAAAAATAAGGGACCATAAAAGAGTGATTGATAGTGTCATGTGGCAGTGAGGTTGAGATGAGGACTGAGATGTCCACTAAATTTAGCAACATGTAGGTCATTGATTTCCTCACTTTAGTGTGGGCTGAGTGCAGTAGCCAGACAAATGGTTGAAGAATCAGTGGGAGGCAAGGAAATTAAAGATAGCTAAGTTAGCTATAAAGGGAAAGAGAGAATAGATAATGGTTGTAAAAAAGGAGATTGCCTCCTTCCTTTTAAGATGGGAGAGATGTAAGTAAGTACTAATGGAAAGTTTTCAGTAGAGGTGTAAGAAAGAGAATGGGATAATGTGTAATCTAAGATTCCTGAATAGGCTGCCAGGAGTTGGATCCAGAGTATAGCACGAGGTAAGGTGGAAAAGGTGTTCAGCTGCAGGTAGGTTTGTGTAAATATGGTCTTGGGAATCTGAAAGGGGAGTTCTGTTTTGTAGCTCTTGTTTACTTTGTGAGGTAGGCAGGAAGTGGGGCCATCTAAGTGTAAGCAAGAGGGAACACTGATTTTGTTTTTTGATTTTTGTTTGTTTTTTGTTTACTTCTATGATTGGGTAGATGGTGAATCCATTAATATGAAAAGGATTCTAGAAGAAGAAGACATTTTGTGTGGGTAAGAAAACAAAAGAATGACTTGTGACATCTTACTTAGAAGAAAATATCAGGGGCTGGCGGTGTTGCAGCCGTTAAATTTGCACGTTCCACTTCGGTGGCCTGAGGTTTGCTGGTTCGGATCCTGGGTGAGGACATGGCACCACTTGGTAAGCCATGCTGTGGTAGGCGTCCCACATATGAAGTAGAGAAAGATTGGCAGCAGATGTTAGCTCAGGGCTAATCTTCCTCAAAAAAAAAAAAATCAGTGCCTCATCTGGACGGACTACTTCTGACTTTTTGTCACACCCCTTGCCAGCTCTGCTTCAATCATACTGGCCTTCTGATACTCAGACATGCCCAAGCTTATTCCTGCCTTAGTCTCTTTGCACTAGCTCTAGCTTCTGCTTGGAATATTCTTCCCCTGGGCAAGCTGGCTGCTTCACTGCTTAAATGTGTCACTTCCTCCGATACCTGACTACCCAGTCTATAACTACTCAGTTCCTCTCACGCGACTCTATTCTAATATCTTGCAAATTACTTCTCACATCCCCCTCCCACACACACTTATTTGCCACAACTCCTGGAATTTAAGTTCCATATCAACAGGGATCTTGTCTGTCTTGTCTATTGCTGTACAGCTCATAGAAAAGTTCCCGGTACCCAGAAGACATTTAAATGTAGGCCCTTAAATAAGAATGAATGAACAAAACTTTTCACAGCCATTCTGAGGGAAGGTCTGCCCAATGGAAGACATGGGTCAGGAAATGCACCAGTGTACTTATATTAACAAGTATGGGGCCAGATGTTAGATGAGATGTCTGTTCCTTGCGAATCAGATGAAATTGCCTTGAACTCCATCTCATGTGTGTTTGGACAAATCTTCATCACTAAGGATTTAGAAGGGAAGTTGTCGGCCTTAAGCTGATCATCGAAGGCTGTAGAGCAGATGCTACAAGGAACAAAGTGCACAGAGAAAAGCAACAGATGGAGGAAAGATTTTGGGAGGTGGGCCACAATTGAGTTCAAAAGAAGGAAGAGGGAAGTTTTTCAATACATTTGGGGGAAAACCTGTAAAAAGCCGTGTTTCAAACGTTAAAGAGAAAAATTTTGGAGGATAGTTTGGTGAAGGTTAAAAATTTTACGTAGAGTGAGACTGATAGCTATTGTCTTTGATTAGAAAGAGGTATGATTTAAGAGCTGAGACTACACTTTATTTCAAAATAATACTGAACTAGGAGTCAAAAGACTTAGGTTTGACTCCTGTTCTATCACAGTGACTGTTGGCTTCTGAGCAAGTCAATTTATCCTTTCTGAGCATGTTTTCTCACTATAGTGCAGGAATAAAAATCTGCTCTGCTAATCTCGGTGTTGTAATGAAGGTTGCTGAAGACGGTTATGATGCATGTGCAATGTAAACCCTTAAGATTTTGTACAAATACAATTATTAAAGTTGTTGGAGTCAGAAATGAGGGAAATAGGTTGTTACATGGCAGGTACACCATAAATTCTGAGGTGGGGGGACGACACAGGAACTTTTTGAAAGGGACTTCAAGACAAGAAAGGGTGGAATTGAAGGCTGAAGGGAAAACTAGAGACAAGAAAAGCCCTGCCTCTTCCTTCAGGTGCTCACTTTACTGGTCTGCGGAATTCCTCAATCTTACCTCCCTTCTACTGGCCATTCCGCTCCTTTAAAACTGCATTCGGTTTTCCCTTATCCTCAACTTTTTAAAACTCTATCATAATCTTAATATTTCTCTCTCTCTCATTCCACCCATAAAAAAAGCCCTCTTCTGGGTCATTTCGGGGAATATTCACTCAAAACGTGAGCTACGCACTGCGCCTCGCAGGCGAGCCTGGCAGTATTCGCTTCCGACATCCTCACCTGGATACTCATACATCTTTCTACCTAAAGGATCATCGCTTGGCGGATTTAATCACATCAGCCAGTGCGTGAAGGTGCCCTGCAAACTCTTAAGAGCGCTCCTAAAGTATTTCGTAGTTCGGACCTATCATCCAACACGCGAGGAAACGGGGCCCTCCACGGCAGGCAGGCTCGTCCGGTATCCCAGCGCTGGTTAAAGGCCGACTTCTGCAGCGCAACCCCGAAACACAAGCCCAGGTGAAAGCTCACCGTTTCGGACGAGCACCAAACTGCGCCAAATCTCGCGCCTCCGGGACTCGGGGGCGGGGCGGGTAGCACGAAGTATCGCGAGATGACGGCGTTTTCCCGCGAAAGAGAAGCGCGCGTTTTTCTCTGGTCGGGGATTTGGTGAGAAGACTCGGACCGGCAGCCGCTGTGAGGATATCGCGCGCGGTGTTGCAGGCGCTGAGACCAAGGGACCTGGTTCTAGAGTGTGTGTTTAGCCATGCCGGCACAGCGGCCCGCGAGCAGCGGCGGTGAGTGACGAGAACCTTCCTCCGGGCACGGGCGGCGGCGTCCCGGGCCGGGGGGGTGCAGCATGGAGGCTGCAGCCGAGCTTCAGGGGAAGAGCCGACCCCGGGCAGAGCCTGAGGAGGGAAGGAAGCTGTGGAGAGGGCGTGGAGGACTCCCGGAATGGCACATACGTGCGTGATGGAAGAGATTTTACTCAGGGAAGCTGCATTTTCCTCAGCATCCCGGTTTGTGAATGGGTCCAGGCAGCTTAGTGACGTTGGGAAGACCTAGGATGTCTTCTGAGGTGATGCTGGCGTCTCCGTGGGTCTTTTGCCTCAGATGCATGTGGGAAGAGGAGGAAGGTTGTTTAATGTGGGAGTTGAGTAATTGGCAGTTTTCTAAAAGTGCAGTTTAAAAGCCTTCTGCCCTCTTAGGGTCCCTGGCTCCAGATGTGGCTGAGCGAGTGGAGCCCGCCGTGATTACCCCAGCCATGCTAGAAGAGGAGGAACAGCTTGAGGCTGCCGGACTTGAGAGGGAGCGGAAGATGCTAGAAAAGGTAATTTAGGAATCAAGTTCATCGTCGTTAGAGCCAGGAGTAACCTGCTGCTTCCTGGGAGGTGTGGTTTGTGCTCCTAGGTTGACTAGTCTGGTGTTTTCATAAACCTGGAAACGGGCTTTCTTGTTTATCTGTCTGTGTGTTTACAGATGCTATCTTTGAGAAACCTTCGCACGTGCTTTGAGTGATGCCTCTAGGAGATGGAGTCTTACTCTATAAAGTGGCCTCATCTCTCTTTTAAGTGAGCATCTCAAATTGCTTGTTCAGCTATTATAATTCTTCCAATGTCGCTAGTGAATCCTCTCTAGTGAATTCTCTCAGTGGTGTTTTCCACCTAAGTGATCAACTTGCTTTTTGTTTTCTTGGTTTCTTGGGCTAATGCTAAATAAGATTCCTTTAGGTAAAACTTGGTGTACTTTTTTTGATGATAAGTTATTGTGGTTTTCTTGTACAGAGTATCTAGTGTGTAGATTACTAAAAGTAATTTTTAACTGCTTGAAAATTCAATTCTTAAGTATACTTCACCTCAGTAATCAAGTCCTACCCTGCTGCTTAATTATTGCGTATAAAAGAGAAAGAATGATGCCATCGGCTAGTAGGTACTGCCTACTAAGTGATTTTTTTTTTATAATATATTTATCCTCAATATTAAGATGACATAGGTACTTTTGAAATCTTTTACATATGAGGAAACTGAGGCACTGGGGGGTCACACGCTAATGAACTCAAATTTGAACTCCACCGGTCGCCAGAGTTCTTGTCCTTAACCCTATACCTCTCTAAGGAAATATACATTGAATAATATGATGCAGTTACATATCCTAGAACTTAAAATAGCCATTTCTAATTCATTTTCAGTCCTTCCGTGAATAAAGCGTAGAGCTCTTTTCAGTCCTTCTGACACAAAGGTGTAATATGCTAAAAATCTGGTAGTATTGTCATCTATTGTCGTTACATTGCTTTTTTGTAGAGGTAGTAAAAGAATTTATTAATTTTTGCCCTTGACACTTTTAGTTATTCCCTAGGTGACTGGAGAGAATTCTAAGAGTTAAGTCTCTTCCTACCTGTCTTTGGAGGCCAAAAACTCACTATGCAAAAGTAAAGATTCCTTTTCTTTTGGGAGAATACTGTATTTATGGGCATATATTTAGAAGTACTTAAGAGAGGTAGAGCCAGCTTAAGTTCGTTAATGGGAAGCATTTACTTTGCTTTAGGAGACTTTAAGTTTTGTGAAGAGCCTGGAGAACTACTTTGACATTCATTTGCTGCAGTTATCTTCTTTGGCTTTTTACCTGCATTTGCTTTTGAAAGAAGTCATTGTTAGTCTAGAAGACTTAAGAGTAGCATTCAGTATATGTAGTGGGGGAGGGGAAAAGGTAAGAGTTGGGAGATTTCTTGGAGAGGTAAAAGGAAAATAGTTCATATTGTGTAGACTGAAATATAACTCCCCTCCTCCTCATCGCCTGAATCTTAGAGTTGGTGATGGGAGAGATAATGGGGTAGACAGTGGGGAATTGGTGCTCTTGGTGTCCATTGGCATACTCTTTCACTCTAGTCGTCAAGAGATGCTCCTTGCCAGGCACTCAGTGCTTTCCACAGATGGAGCTACAATTTACCTTAATAAAACAAACAATAAAATTGTTAAGTCAAGAAAGAGTAATGATAAATAAGATTTACTACAAAATTATTTTGAAATAGGGAAGATTGGGTTTAAAGGTTAAACATTAGCATAGTATTAATTATGTTAATTATAAATTATTGTTCCATGATGGCATCTTAAAACTTTAATTACTTAAAAAATTATGCTAATTTATCCTGAACAGAATTTAAGGTAGCAGATATATCTAAATTAAGTCCAGAATATTTTAGCTAAAGTTTTAAACAGATTAAGAAAGTTAAAAATTTAAGAGTTCATCTTTATGAAGTCTAATTTTATATCCCCATTTATAATAACCGCCTCATTCGTTGGCTACCAGGTGTAATCGCAGAAGTATAGTGGTAATGGTAAAAGAAAGGCTGTCCTAAAAGAACTGAAAATACAGTTTGATAAGATGTTAACAGATTATCTGCACAGTAGGATTATGGGTGATTTTTTTTTAATATTTAATTTTTCTGTAATGCACATGTGTCACTTTAGACTTATTCTTAGACATCTTATTGTCAGTGTTTTTGTAATAGAAAAGCAATTTATTTTGGAAGAAAAACGAGAGAGAGGACATAAGATCTAGGAAATAGAAGCCAACATACAATGGTGTCTGAGTTGCAAGCTCAGTCCTTAACCACTAAATTAAATTTAAGTAGATTATGCTAACTTTAGCCCATGCGAGTGTGTGCACGGACACACACACACACCCATACTCTGTCTCAGGAGTGGCGTTGCTGGTTGGTGAGGTTTGCATGTATTTGGCTTTAGTAGATGAATTTAGCTCTCACTTGACTCTCTTCAGCCCACTTGATGCTTTCCTTTGAATTCAGATTATACTAGGTTGGCAAATTATGAACTGGAGTTGGCCTGTGCTTAGTTATGTAAGTAAAATTTCATTGGAACACAACGACGCCCATTTGTTTACATATTGTCTATGACCCCTCTTATCCAAGAAAAAAAGCAGAATTGTAAATTTGCAGTACAAACCATATGATGCTTAAATATTTAAATATTTACCCTTTGGCCCTTTACAGGAAAAGTTTGTGGACCACTGAACTATATTATTTATTTGTTGCTTTTATTTTTTCTATCTTGTACTCTCTGGTATTTTTCTTTTAAAATATTTAACTTTTAGCAATGTGAATTAAGAGAGGATTCCTCCTCAGCCACTAGACTATTGTAGACTCTTAGAAATCACTCAGTAAATAAATCGTGTGTAAAAGTAATATGAAAAGCAACGGTTTGTAATTGGAAGGTATACAGAGGTGAAAGATAAAGCTAAGAGTATGGCAGTATGACAGTAAGAAAGCAAAAAGATGAGGGGAACACAATACTGAGGTGGAAAGAGATGCTTGTAAGAAATCATCCATAGATTTAGCATGTTGAAGTGTTTTGACAATACACTTTTTAAGTTCTACAAATAGATGTTCTAATCCCTAGCCACTGAGGTTTTTTCATTCTAATGCTCTTTCCAATAAAACTGGTATATGAGAATTTTCTTTTCTGAAATCGTTTGCTTGTTTAAAAACATAAATCCACCTTGAATTAAATATTTACTTTCTAACTTTAATTTCAAATATTTTAAAAATGGATCCTCAGCTCAGTAGATGCCGGTAACCATATGTCCACTGTCCTAATTTCAGTATTTTGGTGTCCAAACTACATCTTACCGGATTGCCTGTTGAACCCAAGAATCATATTTTTCAGCTATTTGTTCTAGTTTTTGGTTTGGAAAATAAACTATTTTTAGTAAATGAATTTAATATTATAAACTTGTTTTTTATAAATATATTAAATATATATAGGAAATATATTAAATATATATAGGAACTATGTTAAACCTAGAGAGCACTTATCTAACCATTTTTGTTACACCTTATGCAAAAAAAGTCAGTGTATGTCAAGATAACTTAATTACGGGGAAATTTTCTCTTTGGATAGGCTCGCATGTCTTGGGATAGAGAATCCATGGACATTCGGTACCGTAGACTTCAACATTTGCTTGAAAAAAGCAATATCTACTCCAAATTTTTATTGACTAAAATGGAACAGCAACAATTAGAGGTATGTATAGGTGATTGTAATCAATTGATTACAACCAGTAGCTTAAATTTTTTAAAAAGTTTTATTGAAATATAAATTACATACAATAAAATGAACACATTTTAAAATGTACTATTTGATGAGTTTTGACCAATGTATAGACCTGTATAAATAACTATCAGCACAATCAAGATGAAGAACATTTTCATCACCCCAAAAAGTTCCCTTGTCTCAGTGATCCCCATGCCTGGATCTCGGCAACCACTGATAATCTGTTTTCTGTCACAGTAGATTGGTATTGCTTTTTCTAGAATATTATATAAATGGAATCATATGGTAAGCATTCTTCTTGTGTCTTGCTTCTTTAGCTCAGCATATTTTTGAGATTCACTTATGTTGTGTCTATTCAATGGGTCATTCTTTTTATCCCTGAGAAGCATTCCATTGTATGAATGTCCTACCATTTATTTTTCTTTTTACCTATTGGCTGATTTTTATCCTGTCTAGTGTTTTTATTTTTTTTGGATGCTGGAAATTGTGAATTTTATGTTTCTTAGTCTTTTTTTTCCTAAATTGCTTATTGAAATATGATTGACATAAACTACATACATTTAAAATGTACAGTTTTGTAAGTATTGACATACATACATCCATGAAGCCACTACAATCAGATATAATGAACATCATCATCAACTTGAAAAAATTCTTCCTGCCCCCCCTTTTTTTTGAGGTATAATTGACGTATTAGTTTCAGGTGTACAATGTAATGATTTGATATTTGTATATATTGCAAAATGATACCACAATAAGTTTAGTTAACATTCATCACCATACATGATTACAAATTTTTTTTTTATGAGAACTTTTAAGATTTACTCTCAGCAACTTTCAAATATGCAATATAGTTTTAACAACAGTTGCCATGCTGTACGTTACATTCCCATGACTGATTTGTTTTATAACTGGAAATTTGTACCTTTTGATCCCCTTCACTGCCCGCCCCCCCCAACCACCAATCTGTTCTCTGTATGTAAGAGTTTGTGTTTTTTTGTTTTTTTTTTTTTAAGACTCCACATATGAGTGAGATCATGTGGTATTTGTTTTTCTCTGACTTCCTTCACTTAGCATAATGCCCTTAAGTCCGTCCACGTTGTCTTAAATGGCATGATTTCATTCCTTTTTTAAATGGCTAATTTCCTGCCCTCTTCCCCTTTTTTTTCCTGAGGAAGATTCACCCTGAGCTAACATACTGGCCAGTCTTCCTCTGTTTTGCATGTGGGTTGCTGCTACAGCATGGCTGCCAAGTGGTGTGGGTCTGAGCCCTGAAACGGAACCCTGGCTGCTGAATCGGAATGTGCTGAGCTTAAACACTAAACCACTAGGCCATGGGGTCAGCTCCTCCTGCCCCTGTTTAATTCACTCCCATCCCTTATTCCTGTCTTCCCTCATTTCCAGATAGCCACTGACCTGCTTTCTGTTAAAGATTTCATTTACATTTTCTGTTGATGATATGTTCTTTCAGCTTTTATATGTCTGAAAAAGTCTTCATTTGTCTTCATTTTTTGAAAGATATTTCTACTGGGTAAAGAATTGTTTTTCTTCACTGCTTCCTTTTCCTTTCCGCCATCCTCCACCCCCTGCCCTGCCCCCACTCACTACTCTAATGATGTTTCACTGCTTTCCAGCTTACGTTGTTTCTGAGAAAGCTAAAGTCCTTACCATGGCCTTACAAGACTGTAAGCAATGTGGCTGCCTCCCTCAACACCATTAGCTTTCACACTTCGTTCTAAGTGTGTTTCCTGCCTTTGGGTCTTTGCCATGGCTGTTCTGTTTGGAACCCTCTTCTCGCAGGATAGCAGCGTTGCTTACTTCATCATCTTCAAGCCTTGGCTTAAACATTTTCTCAGTGAGGCCTGCCCTGACAACCTTAAATAAAGTTGCTACCTGACACCACCTCCGCTCTCACACTCCTGATCCCCTTTACCTTGCTCTGTTCTTCCCATTGCACTTATCTAGAATACTATATAATTTATTATCTACTAGATACATGTAACAATTATCAATCAAGATTTTGCTGCATTTGCTAAGTTCTTTTTTCCTTTGTTGAAATCCCCTTTTAAAGCTTTGTATAGTAAAAAGAAACACAGATATAGAAAAACAAAACAAATATCAAGCTTAGTGAGTTATTATAAGGCATATACCCTTTTGACCTCCTCTTAGAAATGATTTGAATCCTTTTGTGTCTTGCTTTTAAAGCTTTCTTAGGGTGCATATGGAACAGCTTTTAGTCTAGGAATAACCCGGTCCCTGTACAGAGCACTCTTTTTGATACCCTGTATGTTAGGAGGCCTTTCTGCTTTGGCTGACAGGAGTGTGAACTGTTCCTGATCCCTTATGAGCACAGGGGATTGTTCTGTCTTCTTTCTAGTGGCTGTTTTCCTGGCCTTGGTGTTCCTACACTCATGCACTGATGGGTACTTAGCCTGAAGACTCGGCCTCAGATCTTCCTAGCTTTCTTTGTGCGCAGCTCTCCTTCTCTGGTACTTCACCCTGGGTATGCTAGCTGCTCTAAGTTTTGTGCTCTGTCTCAACTCAGGGAGACGGTTGAACTCTGTTTGGATTCTCCCTCTATTATTTGCACTTGGAAATTGCCTTTAACCTGGGCAATCAGAAGATTGCCCTCATTTGTTTCCTTTGTCACTGTTACTGTCTTTTGCTGTATGTTGTCTGAAAACCATTGTTTAATTATTTTACCTGGATTTTAGTTGCTTAAGGCAGGAGGGTAAATCTGTTTCTTCTTGCTCTCCAAAAGCTTGAAGTGGAAGTTCTCCACTGTTTTAATTTTTATATAGTTTATTTGTTGTGAACATAAGTTATTTGAGATGTGTTTTATAATTTGTATTTTCCATTTGTGACATTAAGAAAAAATTATTTTACAGGAACAGAAGAAGAAAGAGAAATTGGAGAGAAAAAAGGAATCTTTAAAAGTTACAAAGGTAATATGTAGTAAGCTGGAATATTTTGTATATGTTACCTTAAATATTAAAGAGATTGTTTTTGACTTTATTGATCATCTGTTTAATTTCAACCTTCTTTATCTGATAACCTATCTTTGTTTCAGGTTGCATAGAAATATAAGATCTGTTTCTCAGTCTTTTAGATATGAAAGGAGAGCTAAAGAATGACACCTTCAGTTTCTTATTCTGTGGACTGTTTTTGGTAATAGCAAAATTTTACTTTCTGAACTGGAAAAAGTCTGCAACTGTTTTATACCTCATAGCATTTTATTAGTGGCCAGCTCTCTTGGAGCTTGTAATGATTACTCTTTCTCCTTCATGCCTCCAACCTCATGTCAACTTGCAGCTATAACAATAATCTAAATTGGTGTCTTATGCATAGCTCAGCAGTGGAGCCAAAGTTAGAGCAGATAGTGTATCTGCTGATATCATTTCAGATAATAGAGCATTCATTTAGACTGAATTCAAATAGCCTGAATTTTAAATGTAATCTTTTTGGGGAATATGTTTTAACATGAGGCTGTTTAATGCCGTATTAATGGGAATTGTATAAAGAACAATTGTGCTAGTGAAAAGAGAAATAATAAAGGCAACATTTATTGAGTACTTACTGTGTGTCAGGTATTAGAACAATAATAAATAAAGTAAATAAGTTTTACTTGTTTTTCTTTATTCTCAAAACAGCCCTCCTAGGTAGAGGTATTTTTATTATCCCCATTTCACATATAAAGAAGCTGATGAAGGAGATACACTTCATCATTATTTGTAGATTCCATATCTACCAGTTAACACTTGGCTAAAATTTATTTGAACTTCAGAATCAATACTCCTGTTTTTGTGGTTGTACACAGACATGTGCATGTGCAGAATGGCAGAGAAATTGAGTCTCCCAGCACACAACATTTGCAGCTGAGCTCAAAGTAGTGATCTGCTTTATTTAAGCAGTCACACTGCAAAGAAGTATCCTTTTTGTGGTCTGTTTAACGCCACGATTTTTGCATTTGTGCTTTTTGTTGATTTTGCTGTTTAAAGTGGCCCTCAGCCACATTGTACTGAAGTGCTGTCTAGTGTTTCTAATGCAGAAGGGCTGTGATGTGCCTCATGAAGGAAATCCGTGTTAGATAAGCTTCCTTCAGGTGTGAGTTACAGTGCTGTTGGCCCTGGGTTCAATGTTAATCAACGTGTATATTAACTAAGATGTCTCTAAACAGCAACACACATGAAAAACAGGATTATGTTTTGATTGATGAAAATGTGACCAGAGGCTTACAGGAACCTAAACTTGTATTTCTCCTAGAGGCAGTGATTCACTGGTCACTAATTAAGTATTTGCAGCAACTTTATAGAATATAATTAGTGTGAATGAGAGTTGGCTGTAACTTGCTGGAGGTCACATATCTAGTAAATAATAATGCCAGAATTTGAACCCAGGGTTAGTTTGAGACCCCACACTTAACTTCTATACTAAACTGACTTTATTAGGAAATATGAAAATGCTAATAGGCAAAATAGATAGGGTATCTTTAAGTACAGCTACCTTGATTCTTAGTGTGGTTAGTGGTGATGTTAAAGTACATGGTAGGTAATTTTGCAACAAAAGCAATTCTTGAAAACTAATATTTGACTCGGTTGCTAGTTCTAAGGACTTATTTTGGGTTTTTGAAGAACATATAATTTTACTGGCTTAACCATTTACTCCCTGTTCTTCAACCTGTACATTTAAACCATCTTTCACTTTTGTCCAGCTAACTATATACCAGGGTTTTGCTTTTTTTCGCTTTTGTTCTAAAGGTGCCAACCATTAAATTCTACCTACTCCCATCTCGCTAGTCCCTTTTGGTGTTTTCTCTTAATCTGTTACCTTTTTTACTTCATTTTTTTTCTTATCTCTTTGTCATTTTGATTTCACATACATGCTGTCTACCTGTTCTTAATCATCTTTTCCAACTCTTGCTTTGAAACTTTGTTTTTTAACATCTCTTCCTTTTCCTTATTTCCCCTAAAATTTTTTAGTCAGTATTCTCTTTTATTTATCTTTTTAGTTGTATTTAACTTATAAATTTTACTGAAAATCAGTGCTTCTTCCATACCATACGCATTAAATATCTTTGAGCATAAACGGACAGTTACAGAAGATGTGCATGGTAATTTCAAAATAAAAATGCCTTCTATGTTTAATTTTGAAATTTGTCTTCTTAAATGGAAGAATATTGAGGAAAGTAGAGTCTTTGGGAAAAAGTAGAGGGATATGGTTACAAAGAAGTTATTGTAGGGAAATACAGAAAAAGATTACATGTTGGTAGGTATAATAGTATAATATCCACAAAAGAGTTGTGGATGTGGTTCAACTCCAAGGAACATTTACTTAATCAGTACCTTTTAATATGTAATACCATAGAAGTCCTTAGAAAAATAATATTCTAAATCCTTGTTTTATAGGGTAAAAATTCCATTGATGTAAATGAGGAGAATCCAGGTAAATATCCTTGTTCTAGTTTTGAAGAATATGTGTTTGTATTTTTGCTTTAATTACTGTCAAACATAAAATGATTTTTTTTATAGTTATGAGAAAGAAAAGAGGAAGAGAAGATGAATCATACAATATTTCAGAGGTCATGTCAAAAGAGGTAAAAAAAAAAAGGGGGAAGGGTACATAAGATTCCATGTTGAGTAACACCTACTGTGGGTTTTGAACCACATTAAAGCTGCATGGATCGCTCTTACTTACTTGCTTTTGAGCCTGTTAAGCGTTTTAGGGAAGAAGATGGTATTGTCTTCCTGTTTGTTAAAGGAGCATGAGCTTCGCTAATCAGAAATTATAATTTCTTGTAACCTCAAAGCCTTACCTTTAGCAGTTTGTTCTTGTTTCTTGTTGAAGACCTTTAAGGAGCTAAAATCATATATTCATTTCTAAAACCAGATTGCTTTTTCACCTTCTCACTTGTTACCTCATAAAATAGAAATTAAAGAGCATCTTCAATTATGACAAACCTTAAATATTCCTTAAGCATATTTTAATTCATTACATTCTTATATTTAAAAAAATTCTATCCTGAGGCCAGCCCTGGTGGCCTAGTGGTTCAGTTCAGTTCACTGTGCTTTGGTGGCCCAGGTTCAATTCCCTTGTGTGGACCTACACCACTCTCTTAGCGGCCGTGCTGTGCTGCCAGCCCACATGCTAAAAATTAGAGGAAGATTGGCATGGGTGTTCGCTCAGGGGGAATCTTGCTCAGCAAAAAACCCCAAAAAACTAAACTTATTACCTACTGCATTTTTCTTCTAGCTGAAATTCAGGCTCTTTAGGTCTTAATAAAATATAAAATTTCACATAATATTTGTCTTTAGGGATGTGCTCTGATTTTTTTTGTTTTCATTTAAAAATAATAATCAGGACCCTTTTCTTTTTTTCTTTTAAGGACTGGCACCTGAGCTAACGACTGTTGCCAATCTTTTTCTTTTTTTTAATTTAATTTAATTTTTTGAATTCTTCTCCCCAAAGCCCCTCAGTATATAGTTGTATATTCTAGTTGTGATGTGCCTCTGGTTGTGCTATGTGGGACACTGCCTCAGCATGGCCTGATGCCTAGTGCCATGTAGGTGCCCAGGATTCGAACCAGTGAAACCCTGGGCTGCCGAAGTGGAGCATGTAAGCTTAACCACTCAGCCACAGGCGGGCCCCAGGACCCATTTAATTGATTATGGAACATACTCAGCCTGCAGTTTATTAATGAGATTTATTGAAGTTTAGTTGATTGCTTTATCACTAAATGAAATCACTTAAGTGTAGCTCTTAATATGACTCAGGAAATGTTTGTGGCATATCTGCTGTGGGCAAACTTTGTCCTAAGTGGATAAGATCAGTTAGAAAGAAAGGTAAACACTGTCTTTGCCTTAGCCCACATCCAGTGAGAAATATATAGAAGTAAGTAGTCAATTATAATTGGAAAATTGGACGCTATAGAGCATATAGTGAGGCTCTTAAATCAGGCATGAGGTTCATAGTTTTCTTCCGGGAAGTGACATCTAAGTTGAAACTTGAGGGATAAAAGTTAAATCCTTTAAAGATGGCAGGGAGGTTAATAGGGAAAGAGTAAGGAACAGGGAAAGCAGTAGGAAAGTATTTTAGGAAGAGATAACTTTTGACAAACTTCCAGAGGCGGGAGAGATCCTGGCAAGCTCAAAAAAGTATATTTGGCTCTGGTTTGTATGTAAACGAAAGGGTGGTGAAGGATGAAGCTGTTAGAGGTAAGCAGAGTGAGGAGTTTAATTATGAGGTTTAATTTTTTATAATACTTCATAGGTGGTGGTGTGCTTATGTTTTGATTCATTACAAATTGTTCTCCAAAAAGCTTCACCTTATTTAGTCATTTAAAAACAACTCTTCTAGCAGTTCCCTATATGAAGTACCTTGAGCCTTAGAATATGAATAATCTGTATTTCCCTAATACTTTACATACACTCATGACACATGTATGTGTCTCTCAGCCACTTACTGACATGTCAAGTGCTTTTCCTGCTCATCTTAAATTTGAGGTACGCTTAAAGTTTCTTGAATGTATCATATTATTTTATCCTCTTTGTCCTCTGCACGTGGTATTCTCTCTGCCTGAAATGTCCCCATACTCTGTCTTTAATGTTCATGCGCCTTATGACAGCTTTTTTAGGTAATTTGATATAACATAATACTCTCCTACGTCACCAGGTGGCGCTCAGACGTTGCTTATCTCCACACCCTTAGCATCAAGTAGATAACTTCAAAATCAAAACACTTTTATTCTGTATTTTTAATTTATTTGTCTTTTCATCATGCTCAAGATTGCAAACTCATACATCTATTCACAGAGGCCTAAATTGTAAAGTGGGCTGGAGTTGGGACATTTGGGAGTGAATCCTTGAATAACAGGAGAGCCCACACCTTGACTCTAGAGCAGTGTTTGGAAAGCTTTTTCTCTAAAGGGTTGGATGGTATATATTTTTGGCTTTGAATAGTTTTGTGGGTAACTTAATCAGGCCTGAACTTTGCCATTGTAGCCTGAAAGCAGCCAGAGACAAACTAAACAAATAAGCCTGACTTTTTCCAGCTATTTATAATTGGAAATTACAATAATAATAATAATAAATATTAAAATATTAAATATATAATTATAATAATATAATTTAATTTATAATTATAATTGGAAATTGACTTATTCCAATTATTTATAAAATCAAGTTGCCAACTAGATTTGGTCCACAGGCTGTGATTTGCCACTCTGTACTAGGAGTGTTGCCATGTGTGAATTTGGACTTAGTCTATTCAGGTAAACTTCGATTAAAAAAAGACAACTGGAAAATTCATGAATAAATATCCCAATTTTTAAGTGTTGCTGAGTAATTCAGAATTTTATAAGACACCGTTGGCTTAATTTTGCTTAGAGTCCACCAGTTTGAGTCGTCTGTATTTTAATTACTTTGAGAACCTTATCTCCATTTCCTGGCATAAAATCAGAACAGAATAAATGTTTGTTGAGTAAATAATTGAATGAACTACATATATTGTTATTTTGTTTTTGTTTTCTTAATGTTTTAGGAAATTTTGTCTGTGGCTAAAAAAAATAAAAAGGAGAATGAGGTAAGAGATTTATAATAGATAATAAATTAAGGAGTCGTATTTCCTTCCGTAATTATTAGCCCCTTTCTTTTAATCACCAATGTACATTTTCCTCACTAGTTACCCTACTTCATAGCCTTAAAAAAAAAATACCCATTCACTTCTTTATCCTAACATGATTCTTTCTTATGTATCAACTTTAGGTGTCCTATTGCTTGTTTCTTAATGTGTAAATATTAAATTATGGGTCCTTGGGAGTCTAGCAATGATACAAGTGCCTGTAACCGTATGGATATATATGTTCCACAGCTTGTGGACACTATCAGGGATGTTAATCTGGTTGCTGGCCTTAAAGATGTTCTTTGGTTCTGTTTGGGAAGGCTTGATTCCCACCCCACTCCCATTTTATAGAGAGGTTCCTTCTTATCTGAGTATTTACTATCCAAGTCCCTACAAGTACAGGATTTCTTAGGGAAGCAAAAATAATTATAACATGAAAATGTTCACTACAGGGGGCTGGCCCCGTGGCCGAGTGGTTAAGTTCGCGCGCTCCGCTGCAGGCGGCCCAGTGTTTCGTCGGTTCGAATCCTGGGCGCGGACATGGCACTGCTCGTCAGACCACGCTGAGGCAGCGTCCCACATGCCACAACTAGAGGAACCCACAACGAAGAATACACAACTATGTACCGGGGGGCTTTGGGGAGAAAAAGGAAAAAATAAAATCTTTAAAAAAAAAAAAAAAAATGTTCGCTACAGGATATGAAGTAAATTAATTTACCTATCAAAGATTAATAGGCCCTTGGGACAATTGATGATTAATTATAAAATCAGAGAGAATCCATTTGGCTTTCATAATTTTGTCCACTATTTATGCCGCAAAAGTGCATTGATTTTTGTTCAGCATAAGGGTTAATTTATGATGCAATTATAACCTAACCATGTTAAATGTAAATAAGATTACATGAGCATATTTTAAATAATATTTAGTTGCATTTTTTTTTTTTTTTTTTTTAAAGATTTTATTTTTTCCTTTTTCTCCCCAAAGCCCCCCGGTACATAGTTGTATATTCTTCGTTGTGGGTCCTTCTAGTTGTGGCATGTGGGACGCTGCCTCAGCGTGGTTTGATGAGCAGTGTCATGTCCGCGCCCAGGATTTGAACCAACGAAACACTGGGCCGCCTGCAGCGGAGCGCGCGAACTTAACCGCTCGGCCACGGGGCCAGCCCCTATTTAGTTGCATTTTTAAAGATAAAGGCATAATCTAATCTTATATCAAGATTTACTGTGGGATTTCCACCTCATTTTATAATATACAATAAATATGCTGTTCTTGTGTTCATTCTGATGAATTTTGACAAATGTATCCATCTGTGTAGTCATCATCCAAATCAAGGTATAGAACCTTTCCATTATGGTAGAAGGATCCGTTGTATCTCCAGTCATTTCCCTAACCCCAAACCTAGAGGCAGCTACTTTTTGATTTCTATCACAAACTACTTTTGCCTGATTTTTTAACTTCCATCACAAGCAAGTTTTCATACGAACCAAATAACAATATTTTATTTCCTTCTACTTTTCAGTCAACATGACTGAAGCACATTTATGTTGTTGAGTTTATTACTAGTTGGTTTCTTTTTGTTGCTGAGTAGTATTCCATTGAATGAATGTTATAATTTCTTTATCCATTTTCTTGATGGGCATTTGGATTATTTCTAGTTTGCAACTATGATGAATAAGGCTGCTATGATAATTTGTGTAGAAGTCTTTGTATGGACATGTTTGCATATTTCTTGGGTATGTACCTAGGAATGGAACTGCTGGATCATATGGTAAATGTATGCTGAACTTTATAAAAATGCGTATCTTTTTCCAAAGTGAACACATCGTTTTACTCTTACCAGCAGTGTGGAAAAGTTTCCTTTCTTAGTATTGCTAGTATTTCATGTTGTTAGTCTTTTTAATTTTAGCCATTCTACTGAAAGTGAAATGAGTCTTGTGTGGTTTTATTTTGCATTTTCTTAATTTCTAATGATGCAGAGTATATTTTCACATTCTTAATGCCTGTATGTTTTCTTTTATAAAGTTTCTCTTTATTTCTTTTGCCCATTTATTGGGTTATTTGTCTTTTTATTGTTGATATGTAAGATTTCTTTATATATTCTGGATACATGTTCTTTGTCAGATTTATGTACTATATTTTCTTTCAGTTTGTGGCTTGCCTGCTCATTTTTTTAATGATATCTTTTAATCATAAATTTTAAATTTTGTAATAGCTCAATTTATCAATTTTTTTCCTTTGGGTGATTGGTACTTTTTTGGTCTTGTATAAGAAATCATTGCCTATCACAAAGTTGTCAAAATAGTCTGTTTTCTTCTAAAAGCTTGATGGTTCTGGGTTTGATGTTTAAATGTATAACTTCATCACAAAATAATTTTATATATGGAGTGGTGAGACTCAAGGTTCATATTTTTCCACATGAATATCCACTTGTGGCATCACTTATAAGACTGATCATTTATAAGACTTTTCCCTTTAAATTGACTTAATACTCTTTTTCACATTCTTAAAATGGAGTTGTGGACATTGCTAGCCAGTAGAATCTATCATTGGTCATAAGTTGGTCCTGAGTGTCACAAACAGATAAACTGACAGTCCTAAGTGTGATAGAGTAAGTTTTTAAACTACTTTGCCCCTTTCCCTTCAACGAAAGTAGTTACTTAGATGGAAGTAAATGTTTCTATGTTCCTTCAAAGGAAAGTTCTTTCTTGTTTAAAACAGGCATTCTCCATTATCTTTGTTATTGGTGAAGGAAATTATTAAGAAAATAGTTTAATAGGGCCAGCCTGGTGGCGCAGTGGTTAAGTTCGCATGTTCTGCTTTGGCGGCCCTGGGTTCGCTGGTACAGATCCTGGGTGCGGACCTATGCACTGCTTGTCAAGCCATGCTGTGGCAGGCATCCCACATATAAAGTAGAGAAAGATGGGCACAGATGTTAGCTCAGGGCTAATCTTCCTCAAAAAGAAAAAACAAAAACGAAAACCTCCAAAAAACAAACAGAAAAAAAGAAAATAGTTTAATAATTCTTGGGTAGCATATTTTAGAGGTTTGGAAGGTTGGTACAATTGTAAAGATCATTTCAAAAGTGTGTGCCTATAATCTATAAGGGTTATTTTCAGAAGTCTCTTTTTCAATGACATTGCATTTGTGAGGGTGTGGAGGTAACTGTCTTTAGGGTTTTATTTAACATATGGTTTTATTTCTCCATAATTAGTGGTTATAGGACTGGGTAACTTGTGACTTGTAGTTACATTTTCTGATCAATAGGGGGTTGCAGCATTATGTATCAAACTTCTAATTAAACTTTTTTCTTTATAGGATGAAAGCTCTTCATCTCATCTCTGTGTAGAAGATCTTCAGAGAAACAAAGATTCAAATAGTATGATTAAAGATAGATTGTCTCAAACGGTTAGACAGAATACTAAATTCTTTTTTGACCCAGTTCGGAAATGTAATGGACAACCAGTACCCTTTCAGCAACCAAAACACTTTATAGGAGGGGTGATGCGATGGTACCAAGTGGAAGGCATGGAATGGCTTAGGGTAATGAATTCTCAATTTTAATTCCAGATACTCGTTCATTTTTATTATGATCTATTAATGTAGTGTAACACAACTTGAGTCATTCCTTCCGTGTTTTACTGTTATAGGTACAACAGGCATTTGTGTGTAAATATTTTCTAATTTATTTTCCCAGAGTAAATTTTTAAAAGTAAAAATTATCCTATTCAAGGCTACCAACACATTTATGGCTTTGATAAATGGCTTCCCACCGTCGTTATTATAACTTATTGTATATTGAATATATCAGTCTCATAATTACCATCTTTAGATGAAAATAAGACATAAACTATAATAGGTGTTTATATCAGAGTTTAAATGCAGCATATATTATTTTGCTCAGATGCTTTGGGAAAATGGAATTAATGGCATTTTAGCAGATGAAATGGGATTGGGAAAAACAGTTCAGTGCATTGCTACAATTGCGTTGATGATTCAGAGAGGAGTACCTGGACCTTTTCTTGTCTGTGGCCCTTTGTCTACGCTTCCTAACTGGATGGCTGAATTCCAAAGATTTACACCAGAAGTAAGACATTTCCTTTCATTAAATATATTACCACTTCAAATGTTTTATTCTGTTTTGTTGGCAGAATTAAATTGTAGATCTTACTAAAATTATATTGATTTATGCATAAACACAATTACTTGATTTATCCTTCAAATCTCAGCAATACCTACTTTAGGTTTATATAGCTGAACAGGTATTAGTAATCTCAGACATCTTGCCAAAAATATCCCTGGATGATTTTCAGTGCACTGGATAATATGATTCACCAGAGACCTAGTTAGAATTTATTTTTAAATTCTGTTTATTCTTAGTATGTAATATTCTATATTAGTATATATATGTAGTATTCTATATTAAACTTATTATGGTATAATATGGCATATGTTGGATACATATATTTTATATATATATGTATGGTGTTTTCCTTCCATACATATGGTTGCCTTAGTCACATCCTGTATTTATGAGTAGTATATATTCCAGAAGTAGCTTTGCTGTCTACCTCACCTTACTCTAGATTTGTTTTCATGGGTTTTTAATTTTCTGATAGGAGTCTAATAATTTATTAGAATTAATTGACTGATTTTGTTGTAGAAAAATAGAACTAAATTGTTATCTTTTTTCTCTTGGAAAATGATTAATTTTACATTTTCCAAATCGTTGATATTTACATTGTTCTAAAGTTTATTATAAATCAATGTAAAATCTTTTAGATTCCTACTATGTTATATCATGGGACCCAGGAGGAACGTCGAAAATTGGTAAAGAATATTCACAAACGAAAAGGGACACTCCAGATTCATCCTGTGGTAATCACTTCATTTGAAATAGCCATGAGAGACCGAAATGCGTTACAGGTATAGATGGTCTTCATTGGATTCTTTATAATCCATAACACATTTTTCTTAATTCATTACACCTTTTTGCCATCCAGTAGCATTTTATTTTATTTTTTCTGATGGAAGTAATAGATTGTATTGTGCATATTCCCTTGGAAACTGGAGGTTTATATTAACAGAAAGATTGAGATGAAGGTTGTAGTCTCTAACAAGAAAATTAAAGCCTGTGGCACTTGAACCTATAGCCATGATATCATTTTAAATGTATTTGAATCAGCCAGACATAGACCTAATCTGTGAATATATTACAGATGTCTCTCTGACTTGTGGTTTAAGTGTATAGAACTTTCTTATCCATTTAATTTATCAAATTAGGATATATGAAAACAAGTTATTTTTAGACTGTATTATGGATCTTATGGTATAACATTTCCGTAACTGTTTTTCTTCATGTTGTAGGTATTTATTTATTAGTGCCCAAGTTATTATAATGCAATTGGAAAACTGACCTTCTCTCGTTGCTTCTGTCAATTCATTTTTTTAGTGTTTTGAACCTCTTCCTCACTGTTCCACCTATTTTACATATGGTTCTTTACTGCTTTGTTTTTCCTTTCTCTGACCAGTACATGGAATTTTAACTTGTGTGATGTAGGAACTTTAGAATATGATTTGCAGTTATATTGTTTTTTCACAGTAAAAGTAATGTATACTGCTTGTAGAAAAAAGTAGTGTGCAGAAAGACTTAAAATACTACCAGACAATTACTACTGCTCTATTAAATAACTATTGTTAATAAATAGATATAATTTACATACTATGTGTTCTTTCTTAAAACTTCTGTTTTCTATTAAATAATATAACATGAAGACATTTCCAATTATTTATACTGTCCCTACTAAGCCCAAATTGAAACATTAAGTGTCCTGGTCAATTCCATTTGCCAGTGGCATTTACTGAGCTTATGTTATTATATCAAGCATCCTAACTTTAAGGGTTAATGGCATTTCGGGGTGCAGGGCTCCTGTTCCTGAGTGGCAGCAGAGGTATCTGAGTCTACTTCGTAATTCATTTTTCAGGTTCCTCATCATTTCTTTTTCATTGTATTTTCTCTTCTCTTTTTTATCTCTTTGTTTATAAAGTTTGTTTTATATTTTGTTTGGCTTACTAAGGTAGGTGTCTTATACTGAGAGATTATTTAGGTTATGTGGTTTGCTATAACACCAGAAAAAAGTCCCAAGCTTTTATTAAAGTAATCATAGAGGCTGCCCCGGTGGCGCGGCGGTTAAGTTCGCACGTTCCGATTCTTGGTGGCCTGGGGTTTGCCGGTTCAGATCCCGAGTGCAGATGTGGCACTGCTTGGCACACCATGCTGTGGTAGGCGTCCCATGTATAAAGTAGAGGAAGATGGGCACAGATGTTAGCTCAGGGCCAGGCTTCCTCAGCAAAAAGAGGAGGACTGGCAGTAGTTAGCTTAGGGCTAATCTTCCTCAAAATAAATAAATAAATAAAGTCATGATATTATGTAAAAAAATCTCTTTTTCTGCTATGAATGTATAAAGTAAAATGCAAAAGATATCCCATTTCATACTCTTCATCCAATTTGCCAACCCAGTTATCCAAGGATACCTACACTTGTCAGTTTGATATTTGTATTTTCCAGAAATATTGCATGTTTTTGTATTTTTTACACAATAAAATAGATTCTTTAAGTTTCTCTGATCAAGATAAAAGAGAGAAAGCACAGATAATAAATATGAGAAATTAAATCAACTTGCATGACAACGAAAGTAAATGGATGCCTTTCTATGAAGATGTAAGTGGTTAAAATTAGCTGCAGAAGAAAAGGAAAACTTAAACCAATAACTTTATAAGAAATTGAGAACACCATCAGACTAAAAGAGTGTCAATCTCAGATGTAGGCCTCAATGAGAATTCTAATGCTATTTAATGTTTCAGAGTGTATGGAACTAATAAAAGCTTTCAGTTCTTTTCTTTTTTTTTTAAAGATTTTTATTTTTTCCTTTTTCTCCCCAAAGCCCCCCGGTGCATAGTTGTATATTCTTCGTTGTGGGTCCTTCTAGTTGTGGCATGTGGGACGCTGCCTCAGCATGGTTTGATGAGCAGTGCCATGTCCGTGCCCAGGATTCGAACCAACGAAACACCGGGCCTCCTGCAGCGGAGCGCACGAACTTAACTACTCAGCCACGGGGCCAGCCCCTCAGTTTTTTTTAAAACTAATCAAAAATTGACAAAGCGTAGGAAGGAAAACTACAGACTGCTTTGACTGAAGAATGTGAATGGAGAAATCTTAATTACATAATAGCAGGTGGACTTTAATTATTAATTCATGGCCAAGTGAAGTCTATTTCAGGAACACAAGTATACATCAATTTTAGGAAATTTATTTATCCTATTAGTAGATCAAAGGCAAACATGATCATCTCAATAGATACAGAAATGCTATTTGATAAAATTGAACATCCGTTCCCTAAAAAAGTTTTATTTTTAGAGTTGTTTGTAGGAAAAATCATGAGATTATCATTTAAAAATATTTAACTAAATTCCTTTTCTAGCATTGCTATTGGAAATACTTGATAGTAGATGAAGGACACAGGATTAAGAACATGAACTGCCGTCTAATCAGGGAGTTAAAACGGTTCAATGCGGATAACAAACTTCTTTTGACTGGTACTCCCCTGCAAAACAATTTATCAGAACTTTGGTCATTGCTAAACTTTTTGTTGCCAGATGTATTTGATGACTTGAAAAGGTAGGTGAGCCATTTACTTAACTATTTTCTGTATTTTTCTAACCTCAAAATCTGTGCTTTTAGTTAAAATTAATTCCTTTCTTCCTGTTAGCTGTGTTAATTAAAATGGTAGCTTTTTGGCAGGTTCTTTGTGGTATATATATTACATGTTCTGTGTGGTGTTTTTGTTTTCCACCTTTGAGAAATAATTGATTTACATCACTATGCAAGTTTAAGATGTTCAGCAGGATGGTTTCATTTACATATATTGTGGAATAATTACCATAATAGGTTTAGTTAACATCCATCATCTCATAGATACAATAAAAAGAAAAGGAAAGAAAAATCCTCCATGTGATAACTATTAAGAGAATCTGTTCTCTTAACAGCTTGCATATATATCGTACAGCAATCTTAACTTTGGTCATCATGTTGTAATTACATCCTTAATACTTTTCTTGTAACTGAAAGTTTGTACCTTTTGACCACCTTCCTCCAATTTCCCTTCCCCCTGGATGTTTTACTCTTGACATAAATGATGTGAAAGCAGATAAATAAAAGATTATTTTAAAGTGTTTGTTTTGATTAATTAAAAGAAAACTCTTGAATGCTACCTTTATTTTTATAAGGCTCTTTCTTTATTGTCTTGACTTTGTGAAACACTTTGAGATGGCTTTTTCTCATTTTATCCTCATAAGACAATTCAGGGGATAGAGAAGTTGGATATATCCCCTATCTCACATAAAAGAAAATCCAGGTATGAAGTTATTAAAAATAAGACTAGTTAATGCCAAGTGCAAAAGTAAAACCAGGTTCTCCCGGTTTAAACCTAGTGCTTTTTATTCTAGAAGCTGTCTTGGCTTATATCATAATAACCACAAAATAAAAATAGTTTTTAGGAAATAATTAGCATGCTCAGAATGGAAGAGGAGACAGTAGTCTTAACAGAAGTTAAAAATAATTAAGATGAAAATACCAAAATCAGGAGTGCAAAATAATTGATTTATACTTATTTTGGCATCATTAAAGAAAGTTCACTTAATACAAGAAAGTAACTTTTAATGTTTTATTTTGAGAAAGTATTCTGCCTTTGGTTATCAAATATTGGCCCAAGGTCAGGCAGTCTTATTGGATGTCTAGGAAACATTTATTATTGATGGACAAGGTTTCCAGGTCCTGTGCATTTCTACTGAGTTAGAACATCAAGGTAGGAGCTGGGAATCTGAATTTATAAAACGTGATTCAGGTGACCAAAGTTTGTAACTACCTGGTCTAAATACCGCATAAATGTTATCAGCATTTTTGCCAATAGCACTTACCAACATTATAGTCTGACTTAGTATAGACTGTGAGAACTATTTAATTGCTCATTTTAATAGTTTTTTTTCACATTGTAAAGAACTAAGGCTATATGTTAGGTAATCACTACCAAGGTATGTATATGTTGTACTTTTAAAACATTGGTTCTAGCGGGTCATATTTATACCGAAAGAGAGAGATCATATGGCCTTGGCTTTCAGAGATATTTTTCATTTCTATAACTTTATTAAAGTGTTTCATAAAATATGTACCTTAGGATGTGAGGGCGATCTGGCTGGGACATCTGTCAACCCATTGATCACCAGGGTTGATTCAGCTTATCGGTTGGTCAGGCTGCTGTTGGGTGTCCCCTTCCTTCCTCACTGCTCCATGTGCATCCCTCCTGAAGCTACACGCTTGGTCGAAGAGGATGACCTTCCCTGGTAGAGGAGGATCCTTCTTCGGTCAAGGATATGCAAGTAGCTGCACTCTGCTAGAACCTCCAGACAAGCTGTCAGGGTCTGTTCATAGGAGAATGTAGGGTAGTCAAGCTTCCAAGATTCCAGATACATGCAAGTGAGGGACTGCATGCAGCAGTCTGCCTTAAAAAAGAAGGGAAAAATGTACCTTAATGTTTGAGTTTCATATTATTGTAAGACGTTAATGTATTTATAAGTCAGGAAAAATGTCCACTTTAAGAAAATATTTGCAAGAATGTAAAATGTTAATATAATTGATTCGTGTGATAGGTTAACTTCTAATCATTTCTTTCTCTTACAGCTTTGAGTCTTGGTTTGATATCACTAGTCTTTCTGAAACTGCTGAAGATATTATTGCTAAAGAAAGAGAACAGAATGTATTGCATATGCTGCACCAGGTTTTGACTTTTTTCTTATTCTGTTTACTATAGACTCAGAGAATAAAAAAGGAACCCTAGTGATCAGCTGTTCATCCCTTCGTGGTAGATTTAGAAAAATTAGGGCTCGCCAAATTTAACTTATTCCGCTGCCCTTCCCCAACCCCACAAGTCACATGGCTTTATAGCAGAACTGAAGTGATTTTTAAAATTTTGCCCTTTTCCTGTATTTTAATTTTATCCCTAATGGTTACTGATGTTTGTCAGCCTAAAAATGAAAATGAGTGGTTTTTATGCAATGTTTGTCAATAATTTATGTATAATTTCTGTACTTGCATGATCCGTTCTTACTGTTCCCTGCAATCTCTACCCATCTTTCCTATATTTACTTTAGAGAAACATAATCTTTCAAAGATCTCCTAGTCATTTTCATATTTGGGCACCAAAAGCTTCTCAGTTATGCTTTGACAATTTTATTCAGTCTTTTGTAATTTTCTTTTACTTTAAAGTTTATACTACATATCCATGATAAAAAAGGAAATAGTGAAGAAATCAAAAGTAAAAATATCTCAAATCATACTTCCCCTATCAAGTTATTTCCATATTTTTCCTGATGATTGCCTATAGGTATGTTTGTTTCTGGGCTGCTGTCTACAGATAGTTTTTTCTTAAACTATTCGTAATGTTCTCTCTTTCTTTGGTCAAGTTTCTCTATGTTTGGCTCCATTCCTGTGGGTTATTTCAGTACAGAGCCCTAAAAATTAACTTTCTATTTGTAAATCAGTTATTTTCTATTTAGACATATGGCTATAAAAGATATAAAGTGATTTTAAACAAGTTTGTGTTTTCTTTTGAAGACCTCAGCAGTTTAATAATGATATAGTTATTCTGTGTTGTTTTATAAATGTGTAAATCACTTGTCATCACACAGCTAATGAAGGAGGGTAATTTTAAGTCTGAAGTTTTAGAACTTATAGAACCTTTCATGTCTACATCTCTGGATTGGTTGGTTCATTGCTTTTCTACTAGTCCAGAGCCTGAAGTGGTAGGCTATAAGTTTAACCCTAAAAGTACCTTATTTCTGCTTTTTAAAATATTCAAGATATATTAGTTTGTTTTTTTCTTAAAGATTGACACCTAAGCTAACAACCGTTGCCCATCTGCTTTTTTTTCCTGCTTTTTCTCCCCACATCCTCTCAGTATCCAGTTGTATATTTGTGCGTCCTTCTAGTTGTGGCATGTGGGATGCCACCTCAGCATGGCCTAATTAGTGGTGCCATGTCCGCGTCCAGGGTGCGAACCAGCAAAACCCTGGGCTGCCTAAGGGGAGCATGCAATCTTAATAACCACTTAGCCACAGGGCCGGCCCCCTAGAGATTTTGAAAAATTAGTAAATTGTGAAATGTTATGGATAAATTTTATGTGTTATGTGGTGGTCTGGTCTGGGAAAATTTCAAGGAGATGTTTTATCTCACCTTTCAAGACTTAATGATATTTATATAGGAAACATGAGAGAAAGAAGGGGTTGAGTGGTACATGGAGAGAGTATTCCCTGAAAACATATGAATGTTTAATATTCACGTTTTTTCATGTTTAAATTTTAGATTCTAACACCTTTCTTACTGAGAAGACTAAAATCTGATGTTGCTCTTGAAGTTCCTCCTAAACGAGAAGTAGTCGTTTATGCACCGCTTTCAAAGAAACAAGAGATCTTTTATACAGCCATTGTGAACCGTACAATTGCGAACATGTTTGGATCCAGTAAGGTAGAGTGTGGATTTGAAATATACTGTAAATGACAGTTGGCATAGAAAATTTCCTGGTTGATTTCAGTCTAATGCTTATCACTTGTTTGCGGGACTTTTTGAGGGTGCATTTCTATCTGGAGTAGAAGGCATAAGGCCAATAGCAAAAGTTGTCTCCTAGTAATTCTGTAGTTCTACTAAAATTCAAGTGATGGCTCATGGATTAATTGCTTTATAGTCATCTGGAGTGCTTGTTAAAAAGTTTAATCACTGGCCCAGATTAACCCTAATCATGCTATCTGGGGATGGACTTGGAAATATATTTCAGGAAGCACATACTATACCAACAGCTTGCCAACTAGACCAATCCTCCCAAAATACATAATCCCTTCACAGGAGGTTAGTGATAGCCAAAAAATTTAATAGAATGTCCTATTTGAAAGAAATACCTTCTTTAGTCACTCACCATATTACAGGAGATTGAGTGGAATGTAGATTATCTTATAACTAAAAGTTAGGAGAACCTTAAATTTTGTTTAACTGTCCAGATTTTTTTCTGTATGCCATGGACCTGTGTATTACTTTTCAAAATACTATGGTTATGCATTTCTGGTTTGTACAGCCATTAGATTCTGTTCTCCCATTTTCATTTTAATAAAGGGGAGATTTGGTTTTTTAGCTATTAGAAACTTACAGTAGTTGCTTATTGTGAGGAATTTCGTTGCAATATTATACCAATCCAAAGAAATACCCTCTAATGCAGATTTCTGGAGCTTTATATCAGCCTTAAGCCATTAAATCCTTTTATATAAGTTCAAAACAGTTATATCCGTTAATTTTTCCAATGAGATATGAAGGCATTCAATTTAATTCTCACATATTGTCATCAGTGTTAAAACAAATAAATTTCACATGACGTCATTTGCATTTGGCTATAGTTTATGAATCCTTGATTTTTTGACTTTAGAAATTACGAAACTTGATGATTAAAGACAATTTTTTTCTTTATATCTTAAAAGATTTTGTACATAAAAATATTATCCCCCCTTTTGTATATATTTAGAGTTGAAGGATATAGCTTTTAAAACAGATATTCCTTTAATTTGTTCTTTTTTAGAAAGAAACAGTTGAGCTAAGTCCCACTGGACGACCAAAACGGCGAACTAGAAAGTCAATAAATTACAGCAAAATAGATGATTTCCCTAATGAATTGGAAAAATTGATCAGTCAAATGCAGCCAGAGGTAGACCGAGAAAGGTGTGAGTTTAGAAATGAATTTAAGTATCCTTTAAACTGTGGTATTTTTTTGTATTTCTTGTGTTCATGGATTATATGCTTTCAGTAGAGCTGTTGTGGAAGCGAATATCCCTATAGAATCTGAAGTTAATCTGAAGCTGCAGAATATAATGATGCTACTTCGTAAATGCTGTAATCATCCATATTTGATTGAGTACCCTATAGACCCGGTGACACAAGAGTTTAAGGTGAATGCCATTTAATAATGGACTGTTTTGATTTCTGTTACTTTTTTATGTGGGGGGAAAAGTCTTATTTTGTATTTTTGATTATTATACTTAAATACTGTGGTGTTTGTCATGAATATTGTAATCCTTCCAGTAAGTGGAGACAAAGACGTCTTCTCTCACAAAATTGAGAACTTTGAGTGTTTGAATGAAGGTCACTTTCTATATGTAAGCTAACTAATATTTTTATTTACATATTATATATGAATAGTAAGAATCATCCTAAAGTTAGAGCGATACTGAAAATATATATATTTTTAGTAATGCTATTGATTTCACTCTGTTTTACTTGCTGTTCTAGTTTAGCAATTGTTGTCACCTTTTCACTATTCCTTTTAGTTAGTATTCTGCTTGTCAAAACCAGTCTGGCAGCTCTTGGTTTCAACAGATAGCCTCAGTTGAGAACTAAAAAGTTGATACTGAGTTATGGGCTTTCAGATTCAGTGAATGAAATTACTTTCTTGGACATTTGATGGAAAAATAGTATACATAGTATTAAAATAAATCAGTTCTCAGTAACCCTCAATAACGCTGTTTCATACTAGTTTACAGCATGCTAGTTTATTCATGCCTGGCAATATTGACATTTTGGGCCACATAATTCTTTGTTTAGGAGGTGCTGTCCTGTGGACTGTAGGCCACTTGGCTGTATGCCCAGTCTCTGATCACTAGATGTCAGCAATATCTCCCTCCCTGCGTTGTGACAATCTAAAATGCCTCCAGACACTCCCAGATACACCTTGCAGGGGGAGGGCAAAATTACCCCCATTTGAGAACTACTGCTTTACAGTTTTTCATTTGAGTAAGGAAGAAGATAATCTCTAATGAGATGATGGATATTCATCAGAAGGTGAAAATTTTCTTTATCTTCAATACTTAGGTTGTTTAAAGCTCCTGTGTTTTCTTTAGAATTTCTACTGAGAATTCTAGTTGTAATTTTCATACCTATTTTGTTGAAAATGTACTCAGTTACATACAATAAACCTCAACATATATGCAGTAAGTTTGAACTTATTGATGTCTTATACAAAGATTTTGGGAGAGGAATGGGGAAGAATAGATCAGTTAGACTTGAACTGAATTTTGTTTTTGTGAAATCATTGGTTTTAAATTCTAGAGTATGTCTTTCCTGGGGAACTATCTTCTGATAAAAAAGATCAAATAACAAGGTCAATTTAAAAAAATTTTAACTTTACAGGGACTTAAATTTCATTGAAAAATTTTTCATTGAACTGTTTATATAGGTTTTATTTTGACAAAAACAAATTATTGGTAGTTATCATGACTTTTTTCTGTTTTTTCTGTCTTTGTCCACTTTTAAGATTGACGAAGAATTGGTAACAAATTCTGGGAAATTCTTAATTTTGGATCGAATGCTGCCAGAACTGAAAACTAGAGGTCACAAGGTGGTACTTTTGATTTGATTTTTGGTGTTTAATTATTCTCTACTGATCAGTACAAATACTAAGATATATTTAAATTTCAGGTGCTGCTTTTTTCACAAATGACAAGAATGTTGGACATTTTGATGGATTACTGCCACTTTAGAGATTTCAACTTTAGCAGGCTTGATGGATCCATGTCTTACTCAGAGAGAGAAAAAAATGTAAGACTACTTATGTCATACATACCAAATTCTTTTTTTGTAACTCCTATCTTGATTTCTAAAGTAATGTAAAGTCGACTCACAGATTAATAGATATGAAAGAGCAAAAACCCTATAGCTGGATCTAAAACATAAGCATTTTGATTTAGTATTAATAAGTCTTGTTTCTCAAATTTTATATATCTTCTGACACAACCTTACTTAATAATATCCTACTTAACCATGAGTTATTATATATGTATAAGTTATATAATATATATAAGTTATATAATAATCTTCTGTTATTGAGATAACAGAAAACTTTTTCTCCTGACTTTTTGGCTGGTCTCTCTACCCCAACATTTTACTATGAAAATTTCAAGCATATGGCAGTTGAAAGAATTTTGCAGTAACCACCTGTAAATCCACCTAGGATCTACCATTAAAATTTTGCTATTCCTGTTTTACCACATACCTGTGAATTACTGTATCCATGCATTTCAAAACCAATTATAGAAGATATTTCCCTTTTAATTTCTTCAGCATATTAAGTCTTTGGGAGTAAAAGTTTTACATATCCAGAATTGAATAAAGTGTACATTTTTTGAGTTTTGATGAATGCATGTGTGTCACCCAAACTCTTATCAAGATAGAGAACTTTACCATCAGCTCAGAAAGTTCCCTCATGCCACCTCCCAGTCAACCTACTTTTCCTGTCTATCCAATCTCCTAGGTAACCACTTGATTTATTTGTGTGTGTGTGACCACTTTTTGAGGGAGTATGGCGTAGACTTTTTTTTTGGTGAGAAAGATTAACCCTGAGCTAACATCTGTGCCCATCTTCCTCTTATTTTATCTGTGGGATGCCTGCCTTGATAAGCATAGCTTGATAAGCGGTGCATAGACCCATGCCTGGGATCCGGACCTGTGAACTCCACGCTGCCGAAGCAGAGCATTCGAACTTAACCACTATGCCACCAGGCTGCCCCCATAGACTTTTCTCTAATGTTAGATATCCTCACTTAAACTTCCCTTGTGATATGTGAGGGTTTTTTTGGTTTTGTTTTTTAACAAAGTTAAAATCTCTTTAATTAAAAAAGTGCTTGGAAAATAAATGAAGTTAACATGAACAGGTACTCTATATAACATAATTGTTTTATAGATCTGAATGATTGATTTGGCCTCCCTTGGATACACTTTTAATAGTTGTAGTTAAAAACAATTTCCCTCCTCAGTCTTTAAAAAGTTAGTTCCTCCCTCCATTACGGTTTATTACAGTGAAAACATACAGTTTTAAATCAGCGAAGAGAAAAGTCACATGGAGTGAAATCCAGAAGAAACTAGATGTGAGCCTCCAGTGGAGTCCCACAGACAGTGCTTAATTCTCCCAGCACCGATTTCTAACAACATATGTGAAGTAAGCCAGGGAAGCAAACCTGAGCTTTGGTGTCTAGGGTTTTTATTCAGAGTTGGTCATGTAGGCGTGGATCACCTGTGTGCCTGGCCTGAGCTACTCATCTCAAGCCCCTCTGCAGGTCACATTGATACAGTGTGTCCCAAGGCCCCTGGTTTATTGCTACAGCCTGGGCAATAGACGTGCCTGTGATATTTTGTTCCATGGGAGGTGAGGCATGTCTTTGACAATTTTATCTCTTTCCAGCAAATTGGTCTGTCTGAACTTTTAGCGCTGCTGGAGTTTTCTTTTTTTTCTTTGGAGATTTTATTTATTTATTTATTTATTTTTCCTTTTTCTCCCTAAAGCCCCCTAGTACATAGTTGTATATTCTAGTTATAGGTCCTTCTGGTTGTGCTCTATGGGATGCCACCTCAGCATGGCCTGATGAGCAGTGCCATGTCCGTGCCCAGGATCTGAACTGGCAAAGCCCTGGGCCACTGAAGCAAAGCGCAGGAACTTAACCACTGGACCACGGGGCTGGCCCCTGGGGTTTTCAGTATTTGTTTACCCCCGCAGTCCTGTGGATGCTGAAGAACTCATACCCAGTTTGAAGAATGCTGGCTTATTATATCCCTTGGCACACCACTGCCAGTCCCCTTCCTTTCCTGGCAGACACCTGGTTATAAGATGACTGCTCCACATGCAGCACCACATCCACATTCTAGGCAGGAACAGTTTCTTAATTCCTGTGTTTACATCCTTTTTGGTTTTAGATGCACAACTTCAACACAGATCCAGATGTATTTATCTTCTTAGTGAGTACACGAGCTGGTGGCCTGGGCATTAATTTGACTGCAGCAGATACAGTTATCATTTATGATAGTGATTGGGTAAGTTGAAAGTATGGCAGTGTGCCGATTATATTTCTATTCTGAATTTTTAATCTTTCATTGTACACTTTGCAATTTGACTTATGTTTTGAAAAGATATTTAAGATAGAAATCATTTCTTTATCAAGTGTCCTGTGTGTAAAGACTTGAACGTGTTTTTATCAATGAAGCCACTCTAGAAGTCTTAATTGAGTTAAGGCACTATTTAAATTTCTGATTGGATCATGCATGTTGACTTTACCCATAGTTTGAGTTTAAATAATTTTAACCTTATACTGTTAAATGTTGTTTTTCCTTTTAAGAACCCCCAGTCTGATCTTCAGGCCCAGGATAGATGTCATAGAATTGGTCAGACAAAGCCAGTTGTTGTATATCGTCTTGTTACAGCAAATACTATTGATCAGAAAATTGTGGAAAGAGCAGCTGCTAAAAGAAAACTGGAAAAGTTGATCATCCACAAAAGTAACACCTTCTAGTACTTTTTTGTTTCGATTGTCTATTGTGTATTGTGAATATTTGGTATTTTTTCTTTATGAAAGAAATTAGTGCAGTTTAATGAGTGCAGGATTTAAATAGGGAGTGGGTAATTTGGACCTGTAGAGACCTAAACTAAGTTGATGACCACAGAAATAAAAGAAACAAACTTTGGTGAGTGTCTAGATGAGGAACAAAGGAGCAGAGAGAATTAACAAGGATACTTTTAAAGTGCCACGTCCTAAACTCTGTCATGGGGATGACATGATGTTAATGCTTATTCTTCATAAGAGATTTACCTGCCACAAAGCTTTAAGAAAACTTCCAAGCCTCTGTTTGTAACTTCGTTATATTAAACATTAGATTATTAAAGGGTATACTGAAATAGTACTATGAAAAAAAGTATGTATTTTATTGAACCCACTATTTCAAAAAATATTTGATTCTGGAATGCTCTTTTTCATATTTTTGGTCTTGTATTTTAAAAACACAGTCATCTTTAGTCCAGAAAAGATTCTGAGGAGTAAGGAAAGTGAAATGGGCGAGGCATTGGCATTTTATGTTCTGTTGACTGAAATTCCTTGGAGAAGTTCTACTTTTATTCATTCACTAAAAAATTCTATTTGGACAAATGGCTTGATGGCTACCTTAAGAAAAGTTGAAAATCATATATGTAAGTTGGGAAGCCTAAAGAAATGGGAACATCTTAATAATGTTGAAAATCACTATCAATTTATTTTATGCTGTTTTTCTACTTGGAAATACTTTCTCCAAGGTGTCTGATTTTGAGGGAAATGTGGATTAGGTGTTAGACATCTTTAATTTGACTTGATAGAGCATTCAGATTGTAGTTCGAGTTTGCATTGGAAGAAAAAAGAATTTTAATCTTAATGAGATTTTGTGCAAAATAAAATTTTCACCTGTGCAGCTTTAGGAATTTGAATGAGGAAATAAATTATATTTTGTTTATTGAAGATAGTATAAATTAGTTAAAGTTTATTTGTAGTTTTATTTTCCCAAGTTCTATTTTGAGAGATCAATTTGAAAAAACAATTTTAAAGGAATTTTTAAAATACTGATAGTGTTTTACTGAGGTATAACATACATACAATAAAATACGCAGATCTTAAGTGTACAGCTTGATGAATTCTGACAAATATATACACTTAAATATCTATCATCCAGATCAAGATAATGAACGTTACCATCATCCAAGAATGTTTCTTCGTGCATCCTTCCCAGTCATTTCACGTGTTCCCTCGTCCCCTCACTAGGAGGCAACTGATATTCTGATTTCTGTCACACAGATTAGTTTTTCCTTTAACTTCATATGTGGATTCATATGTATGTTTGTATTCTCTTTTGTCTAACTAGTTTGTTGAACATAGTATTTTGAGATCCATTTATGTTGTGTATATTAGAAGTTTGGGATTTTGTTTTTTAAATTGCCAAATAGTTTATCCATTCTTTTGTTGATTGATGTTTGAATTGTTTCCAGATTTTGGTTTTTATGAATAAGTTGCTCTTTTGCAAGTGTTGGGGGACATAGATTTATTTGTTTTTCTTCTTAAAGTGGGTGTATACCTAAAGGAAACTACCAAACTTTTCCCCAGGTGGACATACCTTTCTACATCCCACCAGCAAAGTATGAGAGTTTAGATGGTTTTTCTTCCTTACCAACACTTGGTTTTGTATGTCCTTTTTAATGTAAGCTATTCTGATTGGTTTGTAATGTATTGTATTTTGGTTTAAGAAGCAATTTTGAATGTTTTTAATTTCTTGAAAATTTTTTCTAGATCATTTCAAAGGTGGTCAGTCTGGGCTAAATCAATCTAAGAACTTCTTAGACCCTAAGGAGTTAATGGAGTTATTAAAATCTAGAGATTATGAAAGGTAAGATTTTTTAAGAAAATGTAATTCAGGGCCAGCCCTGTGGTTCAGTGGTTAAGTTGGCGTGCTCCCCTTAGGCATCCCAGGTTCGCTTCCTCTGCGTGGACCTATATCATTTTTTGGTGGCCATGTTGTGACAGCGACCCACATGCAAAATTAGGAAGATTGGCATAGTTGTTAGCTCAGAGTGAATCTTCCTCAAGCCAAAAAAAACAGCAAGATTGGCAACAGATATTAGCTCAGGGTGAATCTTCCTCAGCAAAAAAAAAGTAATTCATAGTTTTGATTTATCATAGAGATTTCAATATTTTCTTTTCTTATAGGGAAGTCAAAGGATCAAGAGAGAAGGTCATTAGCGATAAAGATTTAGAGTTGTTGTTAGATCGAAGTGATCTCATTGGTAAGTATCTCTCATGCTTGTATTTACTTATTTGTTTTTATGGAAACTTTGAAAAATACACTTTAGTAGAGAGAATAGTATAGTGTACCCCTATGTATAATTCATTCTCCTATTACATTTAGGAGAATTGGCACTAAAACCTTAATTCATTTAATACCCAATCCATATCCAGGTTTCCCCTGCTGTCTTAAATTTTTTTATAGTTTGAATCAGGATCTAGGATGTGTCTCTTTCCTTTTGTAACATCCTCCTCACTTTTGTTTTTCCTTACCGTTGATTTGTTGGAGAAACTGGGTTATTTGTCCTATAAAATGACTTAGACTGGAATCGGCTGATTTTTTTTTTTTTTCTCCTCTTGTGTTGTCCTTTGATTTGTTCCTCAATCTACTTGTTTTCTGTGGAGTGGTAAATAGCTCTACAGGCTCAATTACATTTAGATTCCATATCTTAGGAATACCAGTGCTTTGTTCTCATGTTGTAAATCATGCCAGGAGGCACATATGTCTGGGTTTCTTAGTTTTAGTGAGCTGAGTGATCAGCTGATTCAGGCTGTTTCCTGTCAGCCTTTTATTTAAGCTGATGGTTTTAGCATCCATTGATGATGTTTTAAACTATTTCCTTAAGGACTGCAAAATGATGGTTTTCTTGTTCTGTCATTTCTTCATTAGCTGGAATTAGTCTGTTAACTTTACTATATCAACTCTTTGGTTACTCTGAGATATAATCTCTAATGGGAGGCAGGATAAATTGCTTCTTTTATTTATCAATTTTTATAGTGAGGAGTTGATGCTTATAGTGGTGACCATAAATTATCTTGAAAACAAATATAACAAATATAACCCTTCATCTCCTAATTTGTGTGTGTGTGTGCTCTTGATTATTTATGTGTGTTGTATCTGTATGGTGGAAATAGTATAAAATGATGTACTACTGTGCATCTTTTCCCAGCTCTGTGTTCAGCAGAGTTATGTTGGCAGCTTGATATTGGTGATGATAGGAATATTTGATACTATGGAACTAGGGAAAAACTACAAACCAGGGCCCTTTTTGGGCTAGGGAGAAGGGTTTTCTTAAACATTTACCAGTATACCACCGTGTATAGTGTTGTAATGTCTTCAACTTAGTTTCAAATAGCTCTTTTTAAAATTGTCTTTGTAGGGCTGGCCCAGTGGTGCAGCGGTTAAGTGCATATGTTCCACTTCTTGGTGGCCCAGGGTTCATGGATTCGGATCCCGGGTGTGGACATGGCACCGCTTGGCACACCATGCTGTGGTAGGCGTCCACATATAAAGTAGAGGAAGATGGGCATGGATGTTAGCTCAGGGCCGGGCTTCCTCAGCAAAAAAGAGGAGGACTGGCAGTAGTTAGCTCAGGGCTAATCTTCCTCAAAAAAAAAAAAAAAAAAAAAAAGGAAAGAAAAAAACATAATAAAATTGTCTTTGTCTTATCCTTGAATTGAAAGCTTTATCTTTTGGTTTTTTGCTGAGGAATATTCACCCTGGGCTAACATCTGTTGCCAACCTTACTCTTTTTTTGAGGAAGATTAGCCCTGAGCTAACATCTGCCAATCTTCCTCTTTTTGCTGAGGAAGATGGACCCTAAACGAACGTCTGTGCCCATCTTCCTCTTTTTTTATATGTAGGATGCCACCACAGCATGCCTTGATAAGTGGTGCGTACGTCCATGCTCGGGACCTGAACTGGCAAACACTGGGCCACTGAAGCGGAACGCACGAACTTAACTGCTACACCACCAGGCTGGCCTCTTCCTCTTTTTTTTCCTCTGCTTGCAGAAGATTCGCCCTGAGCTAATATCTGTGCCTGTCTTCCTCTGTTTTGTATGTGGGTCACCGCCACAGCATGGCTATCAATGAGTGGTGTAGGTCTGCACCTGGAAACTGAACCTGGGCTGTTGAAGTTGAGCGTCCCAAACGTATCACTAGGCCACGGGACTGCCTCTAAAAGAATTCTTTCTAAATTCTACATACAGGTTTTTTATCAGATATATGTTTTGCAGCTATTTTTTCTCAATCTGTGGCTTATCTTTGCACTTTCTTAATTAGTGTCTTTTGAAGGGCAAAGATTTTTTATTTTGATGAAGTCCAGTTTTTCTTGTGTTTGTTCTTAGCACTCGTGATTTTGCTATCATGTTGGTAGGTTATCTTTGCCTAACCTAAGGTCATGATCTTTTTTTTCTTTGAAGTGTTTCGTGGTTTTAGTTCTTAAATTTGAGTTAATTTTTGTGTACAGTATGAGGGAAAGATCTAAATATTTATTTTTCGTGTTATCATCTAATTGTCTCAGCACCATTTGTTTAAAAGATTATTCTTCCCCTATTGAATTACTGTGGCACCTTTGTTGAAAATCATTTGATTGTAAATGTAAGAGTTTATTTCTTTGTTCTCAATTCTGTCCCATTGATCTGTTTGTCAGTTCTCTGCCAGTACTACACTGTCTTGATTATTGTAGCTTTGTAGTGAGCTTTGAAATTGTGAAAAGTGAATCCTCCAATTTTGTTCTTTATCACATTGGTTTCAGCTATTCTGGGTTCTTTGCATGTTTATATGAATTTTAATTTTTAAATAGTTCAGGAAAAAATATGAGAAAGATAAAGCTTTGTGGCCAAATCTTAAATACATTATCAAATAAAATGCAGCAGTATAGAAGGTATACAAGAATAGTGCAATACCTGAAGATACTAACTCACATTATAATGAATAAAGGATTCCTAGATACTGAAAAGCCACTTGATACAACATAATCACCCTCATAATTCTTAAACTAGACATAGAGAAGAATATTCTTAATTTGATAAAATGTATCCATCTAGTAAATTACTGCTAAAATGAAGAACAATCAAAGATACCAGCTCTCGCTCACACTGTTTAGTATACAACATTGTTCACTGTACAAGAAAGTCCTAATTAATGCTATAAGATAAAATAGATTAGAAGAATAATAATTACAGTAACCCACCCTTATCCTTGGAGGATACATTCCAAGACCCCTAGTGGGTGCCTGAAACTACGGATAATACTGAACCTTACATATCCTGTTTTTTTTCTATCCATACATACCTATGATAAAGTTTAATTTATAAATTAGGCACAGTAAGAGATTAACAACAATAACTAATAACAAAACAGAACAATTAGAACAATACGCTGTAGTTAAAAGTTACCACAGATCTTAGCAACTTGAGCATACAATTTTTTTATTTCCTTGTTGAGAACTTTTACCTTTTCATTTAAGGGAAGTACTTTACAGCTTCTCTTTGGCATATTCTGATTGCCAGCATCACTACTCTTGCACTTTGGGGCTGTTATTAAGTAAAATAAGGGTTACTGGAACACAAGCACCGCAATACTGCAACAGTCGATCTGATAACAGAGACAGCTACTAAGTGACTAAAGGGCGGGTAGTGTATACAGCGTGAATACGCTGGACAGAGGGATATTCACGTCCTAGGCAGGATTGAGTGGACTGAGTGGATGGAGTGAGATTTTATCACACTACTCAGTATGGAGTGCAATTTAAAACTTGTGAATTGTTTATTTCTGGAATTTTCCATTTGATATTTTTGGGCTGTGGTTGACCACAGGTAACTGAAACCACAGAAAGCAAAAAAGAGGGGACTATTGTGTAGTGAGAGAGAATTGAAATTGCTTATATTTGCAGGTGGTGCAGTTGTCTCCATAGAAAGTCCAAGGGAATCTAGAAGTTTTTAGAATGGAATTCAAGAATGTTGGTATAAATTAACAGTATGTGGATCAGCAATAATTATTTAAAAAATAAGTTATTTACAGCAGCTACAAAACTATAACATACCTAGGATTAATTATAACAATTTCTTTAAGGCCTTTGTGAAGAAAATTATGAAACATTGGACAGTAACAGAAGGACTGAGTAAATGTACAGATTAAACTACATTCACGGATATGAATGTTTAATATTAAAAAACGTCAGTATTCCCCGAATTAACTTAGATTCCTTACATTGATCTTCTAATTAAAATGTCAATATGACTTTTTGGTGAGATGGATTGTCCCTGAGTTAACATCTGTTTCTAATCTTCCTCTTTTGTTTTGCTTGAGGAAGATTGTCCCTTAGCTAACATTTGTTCCAATCTTCCTCCATTTTGTGTATGGGATGCCGCCACAGCACAGCTTGATGAGCAGTGTGTAGGTCCATGTCCGAGATCCGAACGCATGAATCCCCGGCTGCTCAAGCAGAGTGCATGAACTTAACCACTATGCCACAGGGCCAGCCCCAAAATCTCAATAGGACTTTAAAGAACTGTCACAGGCTGTTTTTAAAATTTATATGAAGGGTGAAAGGTGAAGAGCAAAGACAATTCTGAAGAACAGCAAAATGTTCCATAGATAGAATTAAGATTTAATTAAAAAAAGTCATAATAATCAAGACTGTTGAATTAGCATATGATAAAATAAATTGATTAGTGGTATGATTAATCTGGAAAGTCAACTATATTTCTGTGGAAAACCAATAAATGACAGAAAGGGCAATTCAAACCAGAGAGGAGAAATTCCTATTATGCAATATATGATGCTGGGACAGTTTGTAATCAACAGGGAAAACCTCATACCATCCTCAAAAACAAATTCTAGATAAATTAACAATCTAACTAGTCAAAACCTAAATATTAAAAGCTAAACTTTTAACAGATATGAAAATATAAGTATGGCTTTAGAGTAGGAAAAGAATTCCTAAGGTACAAAACTCACAAACTAAATGAATAGATTGATACAGATTTTATTACATTAATTTAAAGACTAATGTGAAAACATTTTATTACATTAATTTAAAGACTTCTGTAAAAACAGATGATACCATAAACAGAGATAACAAACCACAAAAAATATTTGCAACACGTAACAGGAAGTATTTATCATATACAAATAGCTAAAAATCAGTAAGAAAAATGAACATTTGAGCAAGTGATTACCAGGAGAGAAAGAAATGGCCAGCGAACATAAAGAGATGCTTTAACTTCCCTGGAAATCAGAGTAATGCAAATTAAAACCAGTAGAGATTTTATTCCATAACTATCATTTTGACAAAAATGTAAAAGATCACATATTGGCAATGGGAGTGTGTATAAAGATAAATTTTCATGGTGTGCTTCCCAACTTTTGAACTAACCATGGTTGGGCTTGGTTTTTTTTGTTTGTTTGTTTTTTACCTTCTCTGAGAATTAATTCAAATTGGTATTCTGTTTATTGTTCTATATATATCTTAAATTCAGCAGAAGTGATTTTGATTCACAAACTGATGTTTCAGTTTCTGTGCTCCCTGGAGGCCAGTTCTAGTTGTAATAAGAGGAATGCGCTTTCTTGCTTTTGCTGCTATTAACTGTTAATGATAAAGGAATAAAATGACCCACATTTCTGAATTTTTAAATTTTGCACGGATGACTGACTCACTTCTCATAATATATTGGACATCTCTTTTAGAATTCCTTTTTAGGTTCTTAGACTTTTTAAGAAATAAATACTTGTTTTAATATTTTTCTCTTAGATCAAATGAATGCCTCAGGACCGATTAAAGAGAAGATGGGGATTTTCAAGATACTAGAAAATTCTGAAGATTCCAGTCCTGAATGTTTGTTTTAAATTGGAGCTAAAGAATGTCTTTAAAAAATTCTTATTTACATCCACTGATTTACTTTTATTGGTGTTGAAATCCAGATTATCCACTTTACTTTTTGATTATATCAGTTTACATAATGTAACCTGTACCATTGCATACTTAATAGTTGATAATTTTCTGAGCTTTATTCAGAACAAAGAAGTATTCACATTAGGTGTAGATTTCTCGGTTAACTTTTCAGACTCGGTAGTACTCTTGGGTACAGGCTGATGTGTACGTCACCACTGCCAGATTTATACAGTCTTCCTGTGGAAGTTTAATGTCTTTTCCCCACCGTTTAGCAGTACAGTTCATGGGCTTTTGGTACTTCAGTTATGGAGTAGGCTTTTGATGGGGGAAAGATTGAGATAATGCTTTCCGTTGTTTAAATAAGAAATTGTTTGAATTTAGGGTCTGTTTCTATAAAATGGTTTACCAAATAAATCTTCATTATAAGATGATCTCATCAAATTATTTCTTCAGAAAAATAATGAATCAGGTGAAATAATAGTAAAAGTCTTGACTGGCGTTACAATTCAACATTCTTATGCTGATGTGGTTTCATTCACTACTACTACGCACATATGTCACATACAGATTTCAGCTGAACATTGGGTTAATTAATGCAGAGAAGGCTCTGGAAGAAACTGTAAGGTCTTTACAAATGACCAGAAATTGCAAGTGGTAGTATATCATGCAAGACAAGAATAGAAGAAGAGAGAAGAGACCTGAAAATTTATAATAGGAGGAGTAAATAGTACTGGAGAGAAGGAAACAAGACCTAGGAATATAAGTAATACAGAATCCATAATAGAGGCTCATAAAGGCCAAAATGGGAACAGTTTAGGCCCTGTATGTCTATCAGACTACGAGGTAGAGAAATCTTGAATGCTCCGTGAACCTTACATTTCTGTGTAGGTTGTTTATCTCATGTCAAAATGTTATTCTTGTTGCTGTGCATATTTAACTGTAGATCAGATTATCTCTACGTTAGGGCAATGTAGCTAGGGCTCAGAGAAAAACTGGAGAGAATATTCAGTCAAAAGACAAGAAAGTCTTCAGAGCAGGTTTTTTTTTCTTTTGAGTGGAAATGTTTACCCATCACACCCCTGCTGACTAATTGTCATCATAACCTTGGTTGCTTAGTTGTCTCACTGAGTTTTCCTACTGTGTTGTCTCTTACATCCTCCCAAATGAGTATTTTGTGGGTTCATCTCAGTCCTCACATCTCTAATACCTCTTTCCTTACCTTGCTCTCTGTTGCCACTGAGAAATTAGAAACAATCAGAAAAAAACTCGCAAAAGTTGCCACCACTGCATGTATAAATCTACCAGCATCTGTGCCCTATGTATCTTTTTTTCCTGTTACTGTGGATATATATTGTCTGTCCTGCCTAGAGCCAACAGAAATGTCTCCTTTTATAACAAACTCCTTGAAAAGTTGTCTGTATTCACTTTTGTTTCTCTTTTCCATTCTTTTCTGAACCCATTCCAGTCCGTTTTCATCCCCATCACTCATGAAACTGTTCTTATTCAGACTTCCAGTGACCTCTGACTTCATTTTTCAGCAGCATTTCATACGATTGTTTAATCTTCTCCACTAAACAGTTTCTAAACAAACGCATTTGTTTGGTTTTCCTTCCTACTTCTCTGGCTTTCTCAGTCTCCTTTGCTGTTTCTTCATGTCTTTGACCCCTAAACATTAGAATGTCCCAGGCAGGGCTTGGGGCTCCCTTGATGGTAGTGATGACTCAAATTTATATCTCTAGCCAGAGTCTTTCTCCTGAGCTCAGTTCAGCTGCCTACTTGACATTTTTACTTCATTGCCTGATAACTCAAACTATCCCAAATCTGAACTTAAGAACTTGTACTTCCCCAGCCTGTTGAGACTGTTACCACTCATTCATTTATTTTTCAGCTTCCAAAATCTTATTTTGTCATCTCATCTCTTCTCTTGATGTGAGAGTTGAATGCCTCTTTCATCGTTTTACTGTTATTCTAGTTTCCAGATTCTGGTAAGGGGCAGAGGGGAATAGATCTTCTCATTCTATGATATTGAAACGAAGCAGGTTCTCCCTGCTTTGTCTTGTATAAAATATGTTCTCAAACCAGGACTTGTCTTCCATCACTTGATCAAATTGCTGTGAAAAATACTTTGTTTATTTGTTCAGTGAGTCATTCTTCCATGTTATTAGGCAGTTCCTGAATGTATTGAGAGGTAGAATGAAAGTGGCACTTGAACATTTCCAAGCAAACATTTGGTAATGTTTCACTAATGTCTTAGCAATTTTATGTGACTTTTTAGTCTTGGCAGTTTGAAGTAGTATTTTATGAGTAGGCTGGAGAGAACTAATGTTTATATTCAAAACATTAAGTGCTTCTGTTGGTTTTAAATTCCGTGCTTTATTTCAAAGAATTATTTTGGTTTTGAGCTTCTTTTTAAGTTACTGCTACTTAAGTTTTTACAATTGTATTTGCTTTATCAGCCAGGACATCTCCACAAATAACATACTATGTTTCTTATTACTTCATCAATTTTTGTTAGAAAAATCAAGCCCAGGGAATCATACTTATGAGTAAAATTTAAAAGATTTTGGTCTTCCTTCTTTGGAATCATTTATTGTCGTCATGTGGTTTAATATACTGCTGCTGCATTCAGAGAAGATGTAACTTGTCAAAATTTAGTGAAGCTTGTCTTTCCATTATACACATTTTATACCCCTAATTTAGCTCATAATGTTAACTCTAAACAGGTTTAAGTAAAAATTAAAATGATTGTAAAAAATGAATTATAAAAGCAAATATTTACTTTTCCTCAGAATTTTATATATTTTTGGCTTATAATTGGTGAACTAAGCTTCAAATACCACATGTTGTAATGTAGTCTTATTGTGCATGACTAGGACATGAGTTCGACAACAGTGCAAATGTCAGACAGACACAATAAAAGTGGTCACTCTGTAGGAGTTACTTGATACCAACATAATTTCAAAATATGAACAGTTAATTACAGGTAAGCTGTACTTGGTTGTAAGGTCATTCATGTGATCTAGAATGTATTGTATAAGTTTTGTGTAGATTTAATTGAAATGAATACACATAAAAACTCATTCCTGAGCTATCTCCAAAGGTTCCAGTTTGAGCAATGCAGCCCCAAAGGATAAAATAACTTGTTCATAATTTTTCCTTTCACAAATCTGTCTCTTCTAGCCACATGTATGTATAACCCCCAAGTCACCTCTCTGGGTCTTTTTATTTCTTCCTGAGTCTTACTACTTTTTAGATTCCTTTATATCCTTCACTATCTTGCTTAAATATCACCACCTGAAGAGGCCATCGTTGACAGGCTGTTGCTCTTCTCGTAGGTATTTTGGAACATTTATAAAATGTATGCTTGGCTCTCTTCATGCTCCGTACTCTCCACCACCACCTACACAGTTAAGGTGGTCACATGAGAGTGTCATTTCTTAGCTTTTAAAGAAAAGCTTTTTTCCTAGAAAAAGTTGAAGTATAAAAATAGCATAGTCATCACAGAAACATGCAAATTTTTTTTTTTTATCACATACTCGGGAGTGCAGAAATCTTATTTGCTCAGTTTGGTGTATATAGGTGTATCCAGTGTAGCTATCATCCAGATTATGATGGAATGTTTCTAGCATTTCAGAAGGCTCCTGCGCCTTTCTAATGAGTAAGCCTCCCTCAAGATGTCTACTCTTCTGATCTTTATCATGATGGACTAGTTCTACATAGCAAAATCTGTGACAGGTACCTGAATTAATGAAGTTTGGGAAACGTTAAATTAATGAAAACGTTTCTTGGCACAGGTGAAATGGTAAGAAAACCTCTGATGAGAACAGATTGGTTATACATGTGTCTTGAATGTTCCTGATCACCCCCAGCCCTGGCCCCCCAAGATCTCATTCTTTCCAGTCTGTCAGCATCTCATTCTCTTCATGAGACTGGACACTTGTCTGTCTTGTCCATTATGTGAGAGCGTGTTGGAAGTCCGAAGCAGGAATAAAATTACATAGAAGAACCAAGTGAACACTGGATCAAAAAATACTGACTGTTTCCTAGGATTAGAGAAAGGTGAAAGACCTCTTACTGGGTTAGTATATCAAGTGCTAAACTGAAGAAAAACTATACTTGGATGCCTTATAGATAAAATAAAAACATCAAAGGCAAAGAGAATCTTACGAAACTTCTAGAGAGAAAGATCACTTACAAAGGAACAGTGATCAAGTAGATAGCAGATGTTTTATTTTCAGTAAAATAAAACAGTAAAAATTTCAATGTGTTGAATGAAAAAAATTTACAACCTAGAGTTTTATATCCATCTATAGTATTTTAATGTGAGGGAATAATCAAGGTATTTTCAGGCAAGCAAGGCCTTAGAAGTTTTGCCACGCAAAAGGAGGTAAAGTGACTGACCACCTCTGTGAAGTATGTTAGAAATAACCTAATGCAGAATCCACGTGTCCTGACATGGCTCTTTAGTACCGTGCTGAGGATCTTCCTGATTCAGTACTTCAAAATGTAGGCCGTTCCTAATAACCCGCAGTACTATTGGCAAAGCAGTTGTAATAGCCAGCAGCCAGATGGAGATGCGGATGAATTTCAAGCCAGCAGCTGATGTCACTAAACAAGCGGCCACACCTTCAGAATTAGGTCTGATGTTATCCTGAACTGGGTGCAGCTTTTGAACCACTTCCCTTAGATGACGATGCTATTATCACTTTAGTTTTAACATATGTATTTCTCTGAATAATTAGAACTAAATGCTTTTCTAGGTGTCAGAAAAATGTACTTTTGTGATTTCCTCATGTTTTTGTAAACTTAGTTCTGTAGTACAGAATAGTGGTTAAGTCTTGGCTCTGGCAATTAGAAACTTGTGCAAAATGGGGGAAATAGTAGTAACTCCTACCTTAGGATGTTGTAGGGCTTAAGTGGGATCTTGCACAAAAGAACATACTTAATAGCAACCTCAAAGATATGGGTAGATAATACATTGTACATAAAGTACTTCAGTGTCTTCTGGTTAATGTTTAATAAATGAAAGCTAACATTATTGTCACTAAGACCATGACATGCTATTTTTATTAATGGCAATTTCGTAGTGGTAGTTAGTGAACTACCAAAGAAACAGCATTCAAGTGGAAGAGCCCAAATCCAAACTAGTCAGAATCTTTCTGCTGTGCTGTAATGCTTCTCCAAAAACCAAAAGAAAGTTGCCATTCCTTGAACAAAAAGATCTGATTATTTCTCTGAAGGGAAAAGAATCCTCTTTTCGACCAAGTTCCATTCCTTTCATTTCTACTGTAAATGTGTAGCTGCAATTCTGAGGCATTTTCTTGGCTTGCAGAACCCAAAAAGAAGTTTGTCTTGAGCACATTAAGTGGAGAGCAATTCTCTTAGTGCAGAGTGAGTAGAACTTCCTAAAAGCTCTTGACAATTGATGTGG